ATTTTTCTGCAAATGGATCTCCAGTTTTGCTAGCACCATTTATTAAACAAACATTCTCTTCCCCATTTAATGGATTTGGGGCCTTTGTCAAAGATCAGCTGACTAGGAACCCTATTTTCTAAAGCAAGGGAAACACATACACACACAGAGAGAATGATCAAAAACCCCTTTGTTCCAGAGCTTATTTTACTGATTCAGGGAGAAAATTCATCCTATAGAGCAAATTCTGTCCTTTATCCAAGTGGGTGAGAGAGGCAAGAACTGCTGGGTCTTCCTAGGTGAATTAGTGTCTGTGGCATGGCCTGTGAGAAGCCATTCAGGTGCTCCTGGAATATAAAGGTCTCTACATTAAGAACCTGGGTTGTGCAGAAGGTTAAAGCCTGGAGTGTGTGATCCTTGACCACCTTCCTTTCTTGAACATGGGTCTCCCAGCCTGTCCCCCTCGTGTTAGGGATATGGAAGATCTTCCTTTGATTTTTCCTCAGGAGGAGTATAGCCTGGGGAAACAAGGGCAGCCTGTGCAGTTGTTTTGGTAACGTTTTCAATCATGATGTTTTTCCTGCAGCAGTTCTCATAGCTTAGAGTTATACTTCTATTCCTTGGTTTATTTACTTAAGGTCAGTCTGTCCTGCTAGACTAGGTAAGTTTCAAGAGGTTAGAGAGTTCACTTGTTTCGTTCATTACCATGTTTCCAGCACCTAACCCAGTGCCTGAGATACGGTAACCAAAACCAATTACCAGTTGCCATCAAGTCATTTCTGACTCATAGTGACCACACATGTGCAGAGTAGAACTGCTCCATAAGGTTTTCTTTTCAACTTGTGATTTGGGTGAAAGTTTACAGAACAAATTGACCTTCCACAAACATTCTGTTTTGTGACATTCACTGCAGTCTTCACACTGTGACAGCATTCTTCTTCCTCCCTATGCCCACTCCTTCCCTTCATCCATCCTTCCCATCCCCTGCTGCCTTCCTAGCTCTGTCCCAGGACAAATGCTGTCCTCTTGATCTCATGTGCTTGATGGTTCTGATGAGTGCATACCCTCATGGAATTACTGTTCTCCTTATAGGCCTGTCATTTGGCTGACAGTTGAGTCACGGGGGTTAGGTTCAATTCTTAGTTTGAAGGGTATCTAAGGGCCATAGTATGGGATTTCCATTATCTTCATCAGCACAGTAAGCATCGTCTTTTTTTTTTTTTAATGATTTTGAGTTTTGTTCCACAATTTTCTCACTCTTCCAGGGACCTCTTGTTATGATCCCTGTCAGAGCTGTCATCTGTGGTAGCTGGGCACCACCTAGTTCTGGTCTCAGAGTCAGAGTCTGGGGTTCACATGGCTCATTAGTCTGCATAGGATTTTCAAGATTGGGATCCTTCAAAAGTAGATCACCAGACCTGTCTTTTGAGACACCTCTGGGTGGATTCAAATCACAGTCTTCCAGCTGGTGGTTGGGATTTTTTGTACTACCTAGCAGCCTGACATGTGGTATGGGCTCCATAAATGCTTATTATATGAAGAATGAAGGCATTGTTTGGCTGAACCATCATGTGTTCAATCTTGTGTGGGAGAAGATACTATTATAGCTTAGGGAAAGACATTACCTCTGCTCTCTGAACAATTGAAGTTTACCACATTAGAATTTAATGTTGATAAGGTCTTGGGTTTAGTTTTCAAATCACCATTCATTTGGCATTTATGGTGCAAATTAATATAATTTTGGATATGATATCATTTACTGTGTAAAATGGTCATTAGACATCTTTGTGATAAATGGAAAAAATTTAAGAAAAAGAAAAAAATAACCTTCATAGCCACCGGCACCTTTACCTCAGAGGACTTCTTTCTCATTGTCAGGGTCTCTCTTCCTAACCCTCAGCAACTAAGAACCAAAACCTGGTCTTTGAGCGCTTCTTCATAGATGCAACCCAGGACAGGAATCATGAGACTTAGGTTCACCACTGGCAGTGCACTCGCTCACCCAGTGATCTTATGCAAGGCACTTCTTCTTTGGGCCTCAGTTAAGTGGATTTTGAGGGTCTTTTCCAGCTGAAAAAATTATGTGCACTTTTCACAGAGGCTTGACCCAAAACCTGCTGTTGCAGAGGCTTAGTGGTTAAGAGCAAGAGCTCCTAGAATCATATAGACTTGGGTTCAAGTCCCAGTTCCTCCAGCTGTACTAACCCTCATACTTCTTTAATCTCTCTAAACAATCTGTGAAATACCTGTGTCAGAGAGTAATTAGGAGGTTTAAATAAAGAATTGCAGTGAAAGTACTTAGCATAAAGTATAGCCCAGAGGAAACATTCAAAAAGTTAGCTCTCATTGTTTCTATCTCAGAAATATTTATGTTCTGACTCCTTTTTCAGGTTAACCTTCACCAATGGAGCTGAGATGGGTTTTCTTTAAGTTGCACAGTAAATAGCTCAAAATGGGCAGGTGGTCATTTATTTTATAAAAATAACATCCTTTTATGTGACATCATGACCTGTATAGACAAATGTTCTCTCATTATTTAAAGGTGGCTTGAGGTGTTGCTCATTTGCACTGTTGAAATATGTCAGAGTAGCCCTCTCAGAGTGCTCGTGAGTGCTTCTTTAAACAAATCCTTCATATACATAAATATTCCACTGTGGCTTGAGATGCCTTTCCCAAGAGATACAGTCTGGTCCAGAACTGTCTTACTTCCTCTAATCTGGTTTCTAATAAATTCACTGGAAACAGAGAGGGTTGCATAAAGACTACTAATGAAATGACAGTGAGAATCTATATTTAGGAAACTTCAGTTAAACTTTGTTGTTGTTGTTATGTGCCGTCAAGTTGGACCTGACTCATAGTGACCCCTCCTTGGGTTTCCGAGGCAGTATCACTACGGAAGTAGATTGCCCCATCTTCTTTCCAAGGGGTGGCTGGTGGGTTTGAACCATCAGCCTTCTGGTTAGCAGTCAAGTGCCTTAGGCACTACACTAGTAGAGCTCCTTAAACTAGGCTCCTTGAAATAAATTTCAATACCTGGAATAACATGCTGCTAGATACAATTTCACCAGTACTTGCAAAGGTCTTTGCCCTTGCAGGTCGGAGAGGTAGATTTGGAGTAAATGATGTGTTGACTCTACAAGTGCCAAGGCTGTGAGCAGGGTCCCTTGGCCTGTGCTTCTCTGATTTCCTGTTGTTACAAGATCTGTTTTCTCCCTGAGGTTATCTGACCATCTTCCTTCTCTCTCTCTCTCTCTCTTTTTTTTTTTCCTCGATTGCTTTCTGATTGGATCCTCCATAGGAACGCTTTGGGGTAAATATCTTCTTCAATTTTGTTTAAGGTACAAAGCATGGGGATATGGATTGGAGAAAGCAGGAAGCATGGTAGGGGGGAGGCGCTGGCTCTTTAGAAATGAGTGGTGAGTTGGTAAGAGTGGTAAGTTTTCACTGATACACAACAGATCAAAAATGAAGAGTCTCCAAACCTTCTTGGGAAAGTGATCATGCTTATTGGTTTGGATATCTATTTGGCTTACTTGTTGCCTCTTCTAGGTAGGTATATAGATGAGCCTGATAAAGTGGCAGAGTTTATACCAAAGCCCTCAGATGCAAAACACCATATAAATGCAATATTTGTTGACTAGCTATATTCAAATATAGAGCTGAACAAAAGTGACTTGTGGGTCGTGGCCTGTAGTCATTAAGAGAATCTTAAAATTAGCATTTTGGGCAAAGTCAGCATTCCTTGGATTATATTACATATCTTCAGCCCTTAAATTCTTTGAAAAACTAGATCGACTTTTATCTCCTTGCCTAGGGGAAGGGTGTGGCCGGAATGGTGAAGTGAAAAGCAGGTGGAAGGCATTGCAGTTTCCACCTAATGCTCTGGAACCCATTTCCTCTGATTATTGGTGTCACAGTCCCCCATGAGGAAAGAACCAGAGCCTGAGTTCACAACTGAGTCTCATTTCCTACCATCTGTGTGTTTTACAAATTGCCATTGTTTGAACTGAATGCAAAGATCTCAGGGGATGAGCAGGGTAGAAAGAAACATGCCAGTTAGTTTATTCATTTCTTTCCTGAAAATAAGAAGTAAAAGCAATTTTCTCTGTTAGGAGCAAACATTTCCAAGAGGTTGAACAGGGACGGACATTTGGCATAGGGCAAGGACTGTAGTTGGGCCTCTCACACTGTGTGGCTCTCTACAGGCTGTGCTAAGCACAGAGCTTATCTGAAATGGGAAGGGACTCTGTGGGAAGGCCCAGCCACACAGAGATAATTGAGGGTGAGCCAAAGGCCTGGTGAGAAGCCTACATGACATGCTTTCTCTAGTATAGGCAGCCCAGCCTAGCGAGGGTGTCATGTCCTACACTGCCCTTCTTCATCTTACTCTCCCTTACACTGATGAACTGTGTAGAGGTGGCAAACTGAGAGCCAAAGAAAGTGCTAGGTCAAATCTTCAGTGAGACTTGCTGTCAACTGCGGGTTCTTATTCAATTCAAGGAATATCATTTGAAAGTCTCCTACTGGCAAAGCACTAGACTAGGTACAATGAGGATCCCAAGTGGATTACCACTCATGTTCCCTGTTCTGTCTGATCTTCCATATTGATTTTGCCAGTGAGGTGATGAGCAGCATTAGACAGTCTGTTAGGAAGAGAAAGTGTTTGAAAATATGTGCACAAACGTGTGTGCCTACATGATCCTCTGAGTGCATGTGCATGTGAGCAGGGGATGGAGGGTGGTCCATGCATGCCAGGGAGTGATTTGAAAATTTTCCTGTGGCCTTTTTTGTGGGGTCTCTCTGAAGGAGTCCACTCTGACCCACTTTATGGCCTCTAGCTTACATCTCTCCCCTTTTACCCTGTAATCATTAATGCAGTAGCAGGAATGCCACTTTTCTTTCTCTCTCATGTTCCCCTGGGTGCCTCTCCCCTGCAGAACCAACAAGGGTCGGGACATCAAGACCATCAAGTCTCTGCGAGTCCTCCGAGTTCTGAGGCCACTGAAAACCATCAAACGCCTGCCCAAGCTCAAGGTAATGTTTTCAGAGTTTCTTTCCAGCAAAGCCCCTTCTTCTGCCTCCTCTCTTTAGCTATGGTTGGCCTGCTTTTAGATAATTAGGAGTAGGAATATTCTTTTTTTCTCACATCTCACATGGACGTAGAGATTCTTTTCATCTACTTGAGGTAAGAGTCTTAGTTTCAAATAAAAATAACCGACAGCCCAAAAAATGTATTAGGGGGCCTTTACCTCTTGCGTCTACACACAGATGGTATTTTTCATGCTGTGATTATGACATGCCTTCCCAAAAGAACTCCCGTGGCTTTTTCCTGGAACCACCTATGTCATTAAGGTGGACACAGAACACCAAAATTGAAACAACAGAAACCTTCTGTATGTGTTGTGGTCTGCACACTAGGTCAACCAGGTAACTTGGGATATTTTCTGTTCTCATAATTCTAGAGGCAGAAAGCCCTGACCCTCTGTATTTTTGGGAAATAGATCAATAACTTGCCCAAGAACACATTCCATTTTTGGCAGCAGTAGAGAAGAAATGCGGAAGGGTGCTAACATGAATTAATTTTCTCTTGTTGCCAAGACCTGAGCTTTAATAAGTGTCTTATCAGATTCTCCTTGCTCTCAGTCCAGTGCTCTTCCTGCTCAACCCCAGTGGCCTTCCTTGAGCCTTTCTGCCTCTCAAAGAGCTGGAGTCCTGTTTGCTAGCAGGTTGAGTCTTCCCACTCCCACTCTCCACCCCCGACACACACACACTGTCACCACATATTGCTGTTAATGAAAGTTGGGACTTCGTGAGAGAAAAGTTCTTCCACCTTGAATTCCTGTGAATGGATTCCAGCCTGCCAGGAGAGGGTCAGAGTACCTGGCTCACAGCCCTGCAACCTTCCTTCTGCTGCCCAGGCCACACAGAAAGCCAAGCAAGCCTCAGAAGCAGGCCCAGGACCCATCTTCAGGTGCCATCCCAGGATCTTTCCAAGAAAGCAGATTTAATTATCCACCTGCAGTCACATACAATAGTGCAGTGCTTCTCAAAGTAGGGGTTACAGACACCTGTATCAGGATTATCCAGGATTCTTCTTAAAATGCAGATTCCTTGGCCCACCCCGGACCAACAAAGCCAGGCTCTCTAGGCAAGGGTCTTGGAATATACCTTTTACACAGATTCTCCAAGTGACTCAGTATATACAATTTGAGAAACCCTGTCAACATGAAAAGGACCCACTTGAGTGCCAGGCCCAGTTCTGGAACTTAGGAGATATGCAACTAGGAGCAGATGATGTATTCTTTAATCTTCTTTCAGTTGGAAAAGTCGAGAAGCTTTATAACTCACCCATTTGTGATGTGGACAGTATGAGCTGATCTGAGTAGTCCCTGTAAGAAAACCCAACAGTTTTTCTGTATGCACGGGCCTATTCTCCCAAGCCTGCCACAGAATATAAGGCTGGGATCAGAGAGAATTTCACAACCTGGACTCTCCCTCTGATTCCCAGTTCCCATTTCCCATTGAGTTCTCATTACCTCTTGTGTCCACACACAGGCATACACACAGGCATCTGGGCATTACTTCCCCTTCAGCTCTTGGGCTCTGCAGAGAAGAGACTGAACATAGTTCATCAAAGGCTGGACACCACAGGAAACTCACTTCCCTGAATTGGCCTGAGATATGGCTTCCTCTCAGAGCCCATAGCCTGGCCCACCAGCTAGATCCCTGAAGAGAAACATTCATGTCCACACTGACTGCCTTCCTCCCACAGCTGCTCCACCTGCCTCTCCTGGAGAAGGTTCCTTGCCACGGCGCCAGGAAATCTTCCATACACACACTGTCCATTATGACCCTCCCCACCTGATACTCATTCTTTTTTTTCTTACCCCCTGCAGAATGTGGGCAAGATATCTGGGGGCCTAGCCATTGCTGTTTGCTGCAGCCCAAGCTCCATGGGCATGGTCTCCTCTGAGCTGAGTAGACTTTTTGATGAGATTAGTTGGCAGGCTGGATGTGGCAACCCCAACCTTGGTTAATACCATTAAATTAGAAAGTGCTGGCTCCTCTCTCAGCAACTCAATAACCTGAGGGAAATGTAGGTGGCTCTGATGATTCCAGAAGGCTTCATGTCACTCACATTCCCCGCAGTGTTGAACTAATCAAACCAGTCATGCTTCACCCAGCTGCAAAGAAGCAACTACACAAATGTGGCACCACCACGGGGCGAGACGCTCCCATGAGCTAAACCTAAAAACCTAGAATATAACCTTAAAATGTGCTTGAAATGTGTTCAATTGCCTTGTAACTCCTCACAGCTTAGGGCCTAGAATGGAGGTCCCTGGAGATACAGTGCCTGTTAACTGATGTTTAAGTTCCTGACTCTGTCCACTCAGTCTTCTGTCTCTAAGAGAGGGTGTGATACCAGTCCCCGCCCACATCCCCTCTGTTGAATCTTCTTCCCAAATAGCAGCCAGTTTTAAGCTACAGGACCTTTACCTGAAGTGCTTAGCAACTGAAGCACATGTATGAACTTATTACAATTAAAATGAAGATAATAGTTTGTTATCACTCTTCGGTCTATTTAGAAAGCTAAAGAAAAAGAAAATACATTTTCAGTATACCAATCAAATCTAAGAATATCATCCAGCAGATGTAAGGTCAGGATCAAGCTATTTAACTTCTCTTCCCTTCCTCACATATGAAATGAAGGAAATGGGCTAAATGATCTCACAGATCCCTATCTTCTCCAAGTTTCTATATATCCCACCAAGTGGAGCACCCTTTATGGATCCCACAGGGACCTCTTCAAGTGACTGCACAGCCTGGTCTTTTCTGCTTTGGTTTCACTTTCAGATTCAGAGCATATGTTTCCCTTCCCAGGTGGTGAGTTCTCGTAGTCACATCCAGGTGGGACCCCAGCTCTTCATCCCAGGAGCATCACTTCTTAGGCGGGTGGTATTTTCTGAGGCACCTCCTCAGTGGGGCGGGGGAGATGGGGTCTGACCCCTCCTCAGCTCCATGCAGATGCATCATATGGACTCAAACACCAGGCTCTTTGCTTCTGTTCACAGGCTGTCTTTGATTGTGTGGTAACCTCCTTGAAGAATGTCTTCAACATACTCATTGTCTACAAGCTCTTCATGTTCATCTTTGCTGTCATCGCAGTTCAGCTCTTCAAAGGAAAGTTCTTTTATTGCACAGACAGTTCCAAGGACACAGAGAAGGAATGCATGTAAGTGCCTCCAGCATTCACTCACTTTCTGCTCAGGCATGTCCTGGTGAGGGCTGCTCCACCCTCTGGATGCCTACTCTTTCTCCTTTCTCTGTCTTAACCTACTTCCATTCCTCTTTTAGGTAAAAGAGAAGATGTGAAATCTGTATACTTTTATTGAGCCCCTCTCGTGTCATACTTAGTACAGCCATTTTAAGTCATTTCAATTTATCATTTAAAGTCCTTATTACTACCTTATGAGTTTGGTTTTATTTGTATATTACACATTTAGAAACTAAGGCTCAGGAAGTTTGAATAAGTCACGCTAAGTTACACAGGTGACCAATTAAAGAGTTAGGATTTAATCCCATGTCTGTTGGATGCAGAATCCCATTTTTATTCCATAATACACTGCCTTTAATAAAACTCCTTCTTTCTGGCATTTGTATGTTGGTCATTATTACCCCACAGAATTGAAATCCACAGAATTTCCTTTCTCTTCCATGAGCTATAGTGAAGAGACTCTATTTTATTTCTCCTCTGGTTTTAGAGGCAACTATGTAGATCATGAGAAAAACAAGATGGAGGTGAAGGGCCGGGAATGGAAGCGCCATGAATTCCACTACGACAACATTATCTGGGCCCTCCTGACCCTCTTCACAGTCTCCACAGGGGAAGGATGGCCTCAGTGAGTGATGACTTTGAATTGGCAGGCTTGTCTGTGAGCTGGGGGGGTAGGGTCACATGGCTGGCTTAAGAAGCTGATTCAAACTGAACAAGGCTAGCCTTTGTTATTGTTCCAGGGGAAGTAAGTGGTTATGAGTGGGTAAGACAGGCAGAAGAGAGGAAGAATGGAAATCCTTAAGGCAAAGACTAAGAGGGAAAAGACAAAGTCAGTGAAATATTTGAAGCTCTTAATGTTCTAGGCTGTTACTGAGGTGTTGAATAAGGCTGTCGAACTCTTATAGGATAAATGAGTTTCAACAGCTCTCTACCCCTTAGAAGAGCAAGAGGAAATTTATCCTCCATGTTGGCCCTGCAGTGAGCCTGAGGATCGAGGGCTAAGGATGTGCTGGCAGGATTCCAAGACACTTCCTATGATCTTACCTTTTGTGGATGAGACAGCAGAACCTAGTTTCCTTTGCTGCCCATAACTGTAGGCTAGCGAACCCTCCTTGGGTTTCCGAGGCAGTATCACTACGGAAGTAGATTGCCCAACCTTCCTTCCGAGGAGTGGCTGGTGGGTTTGAACCACCAGCCTTCTGGTTAGAATTTTCAGAGATTTGGCAATTACTAAGACACCACTTCTAGCGGCAGTGTACTTGAGTTGGTGGCAGCATGCCAAATGGTAATCCAGGAGTCCTTTGGTATTGGGTCTGGCAACCTAAACTATAAAATAATGTCACTTATTGCTTAGGAATTAGATGCACGATAGAGCAGGGGCTAGCAAGAGCAGAGGATCTTCACCAATTTGGCTATGAACCCCCCAAATTAATGGGAGGATATGCAAATCAGGGAAGTCAGATACAAAAATATCCAGTGAAATCTGCAAAAGCTGGAACCTGTTTAAGGCAGAGACCTGTCAGAGAAGGAAAATGTGAATACTTTCCACTAGTAGAGAGCAGTAGAAGAGTGGGAAGACCTCACTCTGTCAAAGGTGGAAGACTCATGAGACCCAGAAAAATAAGGCTGTCTGAACAAGTTCCAGCTCTCACAGGTTTTACTGTATTAAAAGGCATGACTCTTAATGAATCTTTGAGTCAGAGCAACTGCCAAGACTGCCGTCCACCTTCTGTGCCCCCTTGTTCTGTCCTCACAGGGTTTTGCAGCATTCTGTAGATGTGACAGAGGAAGACCGAGGCCCAAGTCGCAGCAACCGCATGGAGATGTCGATCTTTTATGTGGTCTATTTCGTGGTCTTCCCTTTCTTCTTTGTCAATATCTTTGTGGCCCTTATCATCATCACCTTCCAGGAGCAAGGGGACAAGATGATGGAGGAGTGCAGCCTGGAAAAGAATGAGGTAACAACAGGTCTTCTGAGGTGTGGGAGAGCAGGGCCCCAGAAAGAGCAGTTGGGCCAGCAGTATTAGGAAGAAAGACTAAAATTTCTTGACTTTTTAAAGAAACACACAGAAGATGAAAAAAAATAATTATTTAGTAATTAAATAAACATTTTTGAACACCTGCTCTGTATGAGGCCCAGGTGTGAGGTGCCAAAAGCTGGAAGGTACACAAGGTGTTTAAGGTACAGTCCCTGCTTTTTATGCAACCTACAGCCTGGAAATTGAGGTAAAAGATATGTGCCAAGACTATACCATTAAAACATCTGCTTATCTGACTGCATCCCTCACATGTACATGCTTCAAGGGCAGGGGATCTGTCTTATTACTGATTTTCTAGCAAAAACATGCTTCTGGCACACTGTAGAGTATTAGTGTACCAGTACTTCTTTAGGCAATGGGGTAGTTTTAGAACCAAACTGAACTAGAAATTGTCATCATGTGCTGTTGAACTGACTCCAACTCAAAGTGGCCCTATGTGACAAAGTAGAACTGCCCCATTGGGTTTTGTTAGCTGTTATATTTATGGAAGCAGATCTCCAGATCTTTTCTCCTATGGAGCCACTGGTGGGTTCGAACCAGCAACCTTTAAGTTAGCAGCCAAGCGCATCACCAAGCCTCCATTAGATATTGTTAAGGACCATAAAAGAAATGCTTGTAAAGTGCTATCAGTTTTTACTTCTGACTAAGGACATCAGGAAAGGCTTCCTGCCTAAACATCTCAGCCACATGCTGTGTCAAAGGAAATATTAATAAGCATTAAGCCTTTCCCCAATGTGACAGTTCCCTCCTCAGTTCTGTGCATTCAAGATAACATCTCTCTTACAGGTTTGTCCAGATAACCTCTGCTGCCATTTATACTGGCTTGTTCAAGCCCTAACCTTTTTTTCATGCACCATCCTCTTCTAACCATCAGCAAGCACACCAGTACGCATGGTTTAGAGAATGTCAGCTTGAACTAATAACCCTGCCTTTCCTGCAGAGGGCATGCATCGACTTCGCCATCAGTGCCAAACCTCTGACGCGTTACATGCCGCAGAACAGGCACACCTTCCAGTACCGAGTCTGGCACTTTGTAGTGTCTCCATCCTTTGAGTACACCATCATGGCCATGATCGCCCTAAACACGGTTGTGCTGATGATGAAGGTGAGAGGGTGGGGAATGGAAGGTGAAGGGCAGGCTGAAGCTCTCTGACTATTCCTTCACAGTGCAATTAGGTATGCCCCAGAGACACTGGGAAAAAACTGCAATCTGCAATATACCAATCCATTGTCTCGTTATCTAGTTTCCATTGTGGAATCTCATTTTGACTTATCTTGTTCAACAGCCTAACCTCTGAGTCTCTTGGAGTCTGCTGGTCAAAAGGCATAATAGTGGTCCAGTGCCTTCCAAGACCACATGTGGATAATGATGTGATTCTAAAGAAATGTTAGAACATTAAGAGAGGTTTGAGTCCACTTAATATAAAACAGTTGCCATTGAATTGATTCCAACTCATGGCCAGTTCACGTGTGTCAGAGTAGATATGCTATGTCTGTCATCCCGTCTCCTGCACCACTCGCCAGAGTGTCCCACAAAAGCAGTGATGAGACAACAGCCAGCCTCAGTGATGTGTATCAGCTCTCTCACCTTTAAGGCTTTGATTCTCTTTCTCTCCCCTTTTCTCTTCTTGGCAGTACTACTCTGCTCCCTGTACCTATGAACTGGCTCTCAAGTACCTGAATATTGCCTTCACCATGGTGTTTTCCCTGGAATGTGTCCTAAAGATCATCGCTTTTGGCTTCTTGGTATGTCACTGAAACTATCTCAGCATTAGGCCTGTCTTCCCTGTGTGTCGGGTGCATCCCCAGCCTTTTTTCAAAGGAGGGTGGTTACTACTATTTCAGAAATGGTTCACACACCTACCCACCTAATTGTGTGCTCCTTTGACCATTCATTAAACTGCTGCACAAACAAGATGATGTATGAGGGTGTTAGGAGATAGGAAAAAGAAATCCACAACTCCAGCTCCATACTCATCTAGCTGTCAGCCCTGTCCTTACAAATTCAGACAGCAATCAGGCAGTGATAGTCTGGGTTTTACTAGAACTGCTGTTGATGTGTGGATAAAGAGGAAAATAAGAGTTGTATAAAGAAACCTTAGGGGCTCTGGTAGCATAGTGCCTAAGGCATTTGGCTGCTAACCAGAAGACTGGTGGTTCAAACTCACTAGCCACTCATCAGAAGGAAGGTTGGGCAACCTACTTCTGTAGTGATACCTCCTCAGAAACCCAAGGAGGGGTCACTATGAATTGTGTTCGACTCAACGGCAGTGAGTTTGTTTGTTTGTGTTTTTTATAAGAAAACTTGAGGGCTTCCTATTGGTAAAAGGTATAAGAATTTTATAACTTGTGGGAAAATATCTGTCCCTCTTAGCTTCACGCACGTGATGTTTTTGAGTGCTGACAATTTGATATTCCACCACTCACAGTGACCCCATGTAATGGAGTAGAACTCCTCCATAGGATTCTCCTAGACTGTAATTTTTGTGAGAGCAAATTGCCAGGTCTTTCTCCTGTGGATTCTAATGGCCAGCCTTCAGTTAGCAGCTGAGCACTTAACTGTTGCACCACTGCTGCTCCTTAGCCTCAAACATAGCAGATAATAAAGTTTGCCTAGCATCCTCCTCCCATTAGTTACATGAAGAGTAAGTTTCTGCCACCAAAAATAAATATTTATTGTTGGTGGTACAGTGCTTGAGGCATTTGACTGCTAACCAGAAGGTTGGCAGTTCAAACCCACCAGCTGCTTCGAGGAAGGAAGATAGGGCAATCTACTTCCGTAAAGATTTACTGCCTCATAAACTCAATGAAGCTTTGGTGGCGTAGTGCTTAAGACATTTGACCACTAACCAGAAGGCTGCTGGTTCAAACCCACCAGCCACTCCTCAGAAGGAAGTTTGGGCAATCTACTTCTGTAGTGATACCGCCTCAGAAACCCAGAGTGGGGTTGCTATGAGTCGGATCCAACTCCACGGCAGTGAGTCTGGTTTTGGTTTAAACCCAATGGGGGTTGCTATGAGTTGGAATCTACTCGATGGGTTTGCTTTTTGGTTTTCAAGCTTACAAAAGCTGATGGCCTTCAATGCATGCACAGTGTGCTTGCATGCATGTGTGTTTGTGAGTATAATGGCTTTGTGGAATCAGGTTTGGGAAGGGTTGGAGATGAATTTTTCTGACAAGAGCCCTCCTTTTACTTGTCCTTAACTACTAATTATAATTGTTTCACAAATTTTTTGCATTTGCTCTCTAGAGTGTTAAGCAAACCTAACCCTTTGCTTCAGTGTCCTATAAACAAAATAATCCCCTGCCAGCCCCCACTTGCTTCAGCATGCACAGTGCAATCAGTAGGATGCAGATAAACCCACTTAACAGCTGTTTCACACTTACTTAGAGTGTGAGCTACACTTTCAAATTATATGTGTATGTGGCTTTCCCTGCAAGAAGAAAAACTTTGCTTATTATCTAAATAAGTGTTTGTCTGGTAGCAGCTTTTACAGGGTCTCCCGGCTGGCTTGATAATTGTGAGTGTTGATTGTGGGGGTTACTTCTCGTCTCCTAATGGTCCTTTTAGAAACCATTTATTTGATCTTTTTGGGTGAAGAATTGAAGGGAACCCATTGCAGGTAATGGCATTGTTATTTGCTTGATTCTCTTTTGAGTGTTTTGAGTCTTAAGGAAATCAAAAAGGAAAAATAAGCTACCACCAACAAAGATGCCTTTATAATACAGTCTAGCCTTAAGCGGGGTGAACTGAAAGGGCAAAGCCACCACTGTAACAGAAAAAGTGTTTCTATGCATCTTGATTACTTGCATGTGGTATTGACATTGTTGGTGACTTGAGTCCCCAATTACGTGTCTAATTATGGTGAATGCTGAATACATACTTATAGGCTTAACTAGATGATTCGGCCCTGAAGCCTGCCTCATTCTAATCCTCATCCCTATATTTTCATTCAAGGTCTAGAGGCATTTTCACACTATAAAAGGCACTGTTAGTCTCAAATAAGTCATTGATATATCACTCTAGGTTTTCAGAATGCCCCAGTACATACAATTTTATCAGATCTTCTCAATGACTGTGCAGTTGGCATTAGAGATAGCATTCTTATCATTCTTATTGTTATTATTTTTAAGGAGTTCTGGTGGCACAGTGGTTAAAGTGCTCTGTTGCCAACCCAAAGGCTGACAGTTTGAACCCACCAGCTGTTCATGGGAGAAAGATGTGGCACTCTGCTTCCATAAAGATTACAGCCTGGGAAACCCTATGGGCCAGTTCTACTTTATCCTAGAGGGTCACTATGAGTCAGAATCAACTCAACAGCAACAGGGGTTTTGTTTGGTATTATTATTTTAAATGAGGAAACTGAAGTTCAGGAGAATTATGTTGCTTTTTGAAAATTATACTACAAAAGGCAGAATTGAAAAGCAGAGTGGGATTAAAAAGGGAAGGGAGAAAGAAAAAGAAAGGAGAAAATTAACATACATTGGTTGTTTATTAAGTGCCAAATGTTTTACATATTATTCATTGCATCTTCATAACAACTCTATTAGACAGGTGTTATTAGTTTATGGATGAACAGGGGCTCAAAAAGGTTGAATAATTTAATAAAAGGCAAGGCCTGGATTCAGACCCAGGTATAACTGACTCCAAAGACCACACTCTTTCCATGGTAATCTATTGTACTCTACTAAACTATCTATACTGTGCCACAGGGTGTCGTAAAACATCCTCACCTGGATTCCAGGGCCTCTAGGATTTAGACTTGTGTTCTCTCTTTTACATGTGGACCCATCCAAGAATTAGGAAGCTCACTCCAGCCAGGTTGGGCAATAGGAAAAAACACCCTGAGAATTGAGGAACAGAGACTCAGCTTGGCTCCACCACTGATGGACTAGGTATTCTGATAGAGAGTGAGTGTATGTGGTCTTGGGGCATGTGGCTTTGGAATCAGACAGACCTCTCTGAGTCTCAGTTGTCTCATACATAAAATGAGGGTAACAACAGCTGATAGGGTGGTGGTGGTTGTTGTTATGTGCCGTCGAGTCGGACCTGACTCACAGCAACCCCTCCTTGGGTTTCCGAGGAGGTATCACTATGGAAGTAGATTGCCCAACCTTCCTTCCAAGGAGTGGCTGGTAGGTTTGAAAGCAGTCAAGTGCCTTAGGCACTACACTAGGGTGGTTATGTGTATCCAATTAGGTAATGAATAAGGAGTCCAGGCCAAAGTAGATTCTGAGCTGTTATGTACATTGAAGGTAACTTCTCTTTCCCTCCTCATCTTTTCTGTCTCACATACCCATTTCTCCCCACTCTTCTTGATTTAATTTATTATGAATATAGTGTATTTATCACTACCTTTCTATAGGATTCATGAGAGGATTGAATGAGTTGAAAGCATACCAAGGGTCTAGTGTATATTATGTTGTTGTTGTTGTTGTTATGTGCCGTCGGGTCGGACCCGACTCATAGAGACCCCTCCTTGGGTTTCCGAGGCAGTATCACTACGGAAGTAGATTGCCCAACCTTCCTTCCGAGGAGTGGCTGGTGGGTTTGAACCGCCAGCCTTCTGGTTAGCAGTCAAGTGCCTTAGCCACTATGCTACCAGAGCTCCTAGTGTATGTTATAGAGATTCAGTAATGCTAGTCCCCCACCCCAACCCCCTTTTGAGCCATTGTGAGGCTGGGACCCCATCCAGGGCTCTGAGAGTCTCTTATGAGAGGCACTGCCAAAGTGCAAGCAGGTGACTTTTTGGAAACTTGGGTGTCCTATTTCTTTTAAGGAATGTAGTCCAAGGTCTATTCACCTGAACCTGGCAGAGCATAGACCACTTTCTCCTATCAAGAAGAGTATTATCTGGTTGGTAGATTTCTCAGGCCTTCAGTTCTCCTCCTTTTCCTTCAACTCTTTCATTTTATCACTGCTTCCTTTTTTTATTTCATTATACCTCCTCTCAAGGTATAGCAGAGAAAGAGAGAAAGACAAAGTAGTTTCATCCTGTTGCCAATCAATTGGTTTGAAAAGACCAAGAATTAGAACACTTTTTCACACTTGTGATCTTTAGTTTCTCATGATCTCTGTGATTTTTGTTGATAGTCCAAAACCAAAAAAAAAAAAAAAAAAAACCCAAGTGATTCTGACTCATAGTAACCTTCATTGGGTTTCCAAGACTGTAAATTTTAATGGAAGCAGACTGCTCATCTTTCTTCTATGGAGTGGCTGGTGGCTTTGAACCACTGACCTTTTTGATTAGCAGCCAAATGCCTTAACCACTATACCAGAGCTATTTAGTTGAAAGTCAGAACTGTATTTTTATACACATGGTACAGTAGAGATAATATAGAAGTTACAGTGGTAGAAAATGTTAATAATATTGTAAATAAAATTGTCTTGTGGTTAACGGTGATGGCCTCTCCTTTTTGAACTTTATAATATTCTTGGCCACAAATCTCATTCTTCCCTATGAGCTATTTAGTGATATAAAAACACAGTCTTCAAATAGTAATGGAACTGCTTCCAAATGAGAGATTACAAAATTATTGAAAGACAAATAGCATATCTGGTTAGAAATAGAAAATTGAAGCCAAAGTTAGAATGAACTGGTGTGTGAACTGACAGGTTTTAATTCCAGATGTCAAACAAAGTTATGTAATGAAACATGTCTGTTGTCCTTTTTTCTTTCTTGTTTTCTTTCCCTGATGTTTCCTTGGCGGGATTCACTTGGCAGAACTATTTCCGAGACACCTGGAATATCTTTGACTTCATCACTGTGATTGGCAGTATCACAGAAATTATCCTGACAGACAGCAAAGTGAGTGGCTTGTGGGACCCTTCTCCATAAACTTGTCCCTGAAATGGCATTTTAATAATCCTCTGCACATTAAATCCATTTCTACCCATCAAATCAGTATGTAGCCCTCTGAGTGTTGAGAAGTTCACCTCCATAGTTCTGAACAGTAGCCAGAGAATACAAACATTGGAATGGTGCTGAATGTCATGGAATGTTTGTTTCATTTGCATGACTCAAAAGGCAGACATCTAATGGGGTAAGTAGAATAGAGGGTGTCAGAGAGGTCTAGTGTATGCAGGGTTCTGCTGGATACTCTGGGAGATACAAAAGAGCACCAGATCTTTGCTGTCCAAGCTCTTAGGGCTGAATTGTTAGCTTGAATTTGTTCATCCTAAAGAGAACTTAGGCACTCTGGTGGCGTAGTGCCTAAGGCATTTGACTGCTAACCAGAAGGCTGGCATTTCAAACCCACCAGCCACTCCTCAGTCACTTCTGTAATGATACCACCTTGGAAGCCCAAGGAGGGGTTGCTATGAGTCAGATCTGACTACACAGCCGTGAGTTTGTTTCTTTTCTTTTCTTTTTCTTTTTTTTTTTTTTAAAGAGAACTTAGAGAAGTCATCATAATTCCTTTTTAATATTGGAGAGCTGTCATGTGCTAGAGGGATTACTAGGTTTGCTCTTTTGGGCATCTCAGTTAGGACTACTTGATAGAGGAACAGTGAGGCTGGGTTGGTATAATATATTCAGGGTATATTTCCCTCAATCCTTCTACCTGGGAAAAAGGGCAGGTTGGAAAGGCTTTGAAAGATAGACTTCACTGACCTGTCAGCTGGAGTAGATGTTACAAAAGAAAGGTAGACACTTTATATCCAATTTTATGATATGAAGGAGGGAATGTACACAAATATGAATGCTTAGATTTTTCTAAATGACTATGATGTCACTGACTATGTTTCCTTTTGGTCCACCAGCTTGTGAACACCAGTGGCTTCAATATGAGCTTCCTGAAGCTCTTCAGAGCTGCTCGCCTCATAAAGCTGCTACGGCAGGGCTATACCATACGTATTTTACTTTGGACCTTTGTGCAGTCCTTTAAGGTAAGAGGCCCTAGCTCCTCTTCTCTGAGGCCAAGTGGCTCTGTCATGGCAGACAGCACAGCCAAGAAACACATGTCACTTGGCATCATTGCTCACATCCCTTCTCCTCTGGGAAGTTGAAAGTCAGTAGAATGGGTGTTTGTCAAAGCAGTTCCTGGTGACAGCACAAGAGTCTCTGGGTGGTACAAATGGTTAGTGCACTCGACTACTAACTGAATGGTTGGAGGTTTGAACCCACCCAGAGGCACTCAGAAGAAAGGCCTAGTGGTCTACTTTTGAAAAATCAACCATTGAAAACCCTCTGGAGCACTGTTCTACTCTGACACACATGAGGTTGCCATGTATCAGAATCAACTCAATGGCAGCTGGTTTCGTTTTTGCTTGGTTATAGCAGTTGAAATCAACTCGATGGCAACTAACAACAACAACAACATAGCAGGGCCCCGCTAAGCTATGATTGGCTTATGTCTATAGGATATAATTTTTCTAGAAAAATATCTTGACTTTATAATTCAGGTATCCTCTCTGTCCTCTGAGGCAGAGAGTGTGTATTATGAGGTGTACTTCTCCTAGGTATTACAAATTGCCCTGAGGAATCCTTTCCATGTATAGAGCCAGTCATCTGTGGTCAGTTGTCCTCTGCGTTTCAGAGACCTTGTCACTAGTTTTATTTCATGTAACAGTTTTCCAAAGGACTCCTTGAGTTGTTCTTCGTAGGAAGATGACTCATACCCATCCCTCCCATATGTCATCAATGTCTGTTTCCTGAGCCACTGAATGTATGGCATGCTAATGGTCACCCTGTGTCCTACAAACAAATAGGGATGACGAGCAAGCATAATACCATGAGCTTCTTTTGAACAGCCTCATGCTGTTGTACAGAGGTGTATGTATAATAAATAGAAAAAATGGACACCTGAGGTCTACTTTAATGGCAGAGCCTGCCAGTAAAAGTTTTCCAAACATATTTTAAATAGCTTCAGGTTCTAGCAAATAATCGTAATTACTTTTTAAGGTTTAGGAGGCCTAAGAGCTGTTCGGAAGATTGGGCAATCCTACTTCCGTAGTGATACTGCCTCGGAAACCCAAGGAGGGGTCGCTATGAGTTGGGGCCGACTTGACGGCACATAACAACAACAACAACAAGAGCTGTTCAAATGCCTACTAGTTTGCTCTCTTGTCAAAACAAGAGTTTTCCAGTGAATGTGTTTGGAAAATAAATTTGAAGAAATTAAGTGATTGAAAGATGAAAACTTATGAGTATACTAAATTGCTTTCTTTATTTCAATTATTTGCATATTTTAATTAGAAATTTAAGCAGAGAAGGCAAGCCAGTGAATTTATGGTTCCTTATCATTGGAAATGGAGTTCTCCCATCTCATCATCACTCATTTACTTCTTCATTAAGGGCTGGGGAGTTGAGACTGTGAAACCAATTTTAAGGATGCTCTGGATCCTAGGAGCTCCCTTGACATATTTTATCATGTCCAGAGAAGTTTTGGGTATGATACTTACCATAAAGGTCACCATGAAAACTGTTTTTCCAAAGCTATGCAGCAGAGGAGAAATCTAAAATCTTAGCAAGATCTTACCATCTGGTCTCAGGTGAATATGGATTTAGATACTTTTAAAACCCTTTTTTAAGAGGCCCACTCAATAAGCCCTTGCTGTTAGTAAGTCTCTTAAGAAATATGTGTCAGCCTGTCATATTATCATCCTCACCAGTTCACTGTGAAACTATAGACTACTGAAGGCAAAGAAAAGGATGTCAACAATTGATAGGCAAATGATTGGCTTATTCCAGCAAATAATACAGAGAACTGGGGAGAGCTAAATCTACCTCTGGATGACACTGTTATAGACAGGTATTTTCTCTTTTAGAATAGTTGTGGCACACAGTGTAGAAGTTCTTTTTTCAAAGTTTACTTAACAAAGGCTTTCTCTTCTAATGCATAGCAGAGAGGCACACAATGCAAAGAGCAATGCTGTGCCTGTAGGTATTCCTTCCAACCCTGAGCATCACCCATTTCTCCATCTCCGAACCCTACTCACAAGTTCTTCCCTCTTGTCCCTTATTGTATTAGAATTTATAGCATGACAAGAAAGGAGAACAGAATGAATCTTTGATCCCCTTTCCAAAACTGGAGGTAGGGAGTGATGAACTAGGGACTGGAGACATTGGAGTGGAGAAGGTAGAATAAGAGAAGGAAGTAAATGGTGGAAGGTAGCAGCACATCAGATGGCAAGAAACTCTGCCTCCATACGCACGCCATTCAGTAGAGGAAGTAATTCACATCACTTCTCGAAATGCAGCCAGTCCTCTTCACAATCTTGAGGATCAACTCTTCATTGGAGAGCTGGTTCTCCTACCAACTTTCAGTTGCATTTTAATTGTGTCCTTTATTCAAGTTGTAAAGAGACTCCAAGGGCTCTTCAGTTAGCTAGCTATCTCTGTTGATAAGCTCTGCCCAGGTCATGCAGCCTGAAAGCTTTGGTGGTTCGGTGGTAGAATTTTCACCTTCCATGTAGTGGACCCGGGTTTGATTCCAAGCCAATGCACCTCATGCACAGCCACCAGCTTTCTATCAGCTGTCTGTCTGTTGCATGTTGCTATGTTGCTGAACAGATTTCAGCGGAGCTTCTAGAGTACAATGGACTACAAAGAAGGGCCTGATGATCCACTTCCGAATATCAGCCAATGAAATCTTTATTGATCACAATGGTTTGGTCTGCAGCTGTTCATGGTGATGGTCCAGGGCTGAGCAACATTTTGCTTCTTTGTGCACAGGGTGGCCATGGGTCAGGGGCCAACTTGAAGGCAGCTAACAACACCCAAGACAGGGTGGAGACTCACAGTCACATTATCTGCCAAGAAGCTCACTAGATGATAAAGAACAGGGACTTCCATGGCAGCATTGAGATCACCCCAGAATTTTAGTGGCCCACCCTGGCCCCAAATCCAAACTGCCCTATGTCTGCTTCCTTCCCCAGCTACTAAGGGCAGTGCTCTGCCTTCCATCTTCTCTACCCCCATACTTGAGATGTTATTATCCCAAAATGGTGTTAAACTTGCACAGCATGGAATGTGTCACATGGAGTCATGGAATTATATGATGGCTAATACTAAAGCAAGCTTTTTGGAATTTTGCATGACACATAATGGAATATCAGGAGGCTTGAAAGTTGGACGATGATGTTGCCTAAAAGCCTCAGAGGACAAAGGAGCCTTCCAGGAACTGGCAAATGAGGCCCAAGCCATTTCACTGTACTTCCAGATTCTCCATCATGGACATCACATTGGGTATGGGAGTTTGAAAGGGTAATCTAGGGATTTGGAAGCCACAGCTAGATGCTTGCTGTGTAATTTGCATCACAATTATCCAGGTCATTAATATTTTGTATGCAACTTGGGAGGAATCCCAAGCCCAGGAAGTTTTCCCAGCTCTCCTTGGAAGTACAGGCCACAGTTCTGGATGAGTGGATATTCTTGACAGGTAAATTGTAAGCCAACAGCTTCCATGTCTCTCAGAGCATGTGGACATCAATCAGCATAAGCATTGCACCCAAAACTGAACATCCCAGGAAATGATCCCAGTGCTGTGACAGTCACTGTCAGGGGGTGAGAGTCCCTGCACTGCTGGTGACTGCAGGCTGTTGAGCCTGGAAGCTGCCCACCTTGAATTCATGGTCATCTCTCTGCTTTCCCTCCAGGCCCTCCCCTACGTCTGTCTTTTGATTGCCATGCTTTTCTTCATTTATGCCATCATTGGGATGCAGGTAAGATGGTGCGCCAGGGGCTTAGTAAGGGGAGGAAAATGAGTTAGAGCCCTACTAGTCTTCAGAAACAGTTGTTCGCCAGTACTGTCTCTGACATAGCAGCCTGAGAAGGAGAGATGGAGTGTGTTCTGAACCCCTTCTTGCCTACAGGCCACTTTCCCGTGGGCCTTGTTGCATGTGACCTTGGAAATTTCACATATGCTGCAGTATCTATTCAGGTCACCCACATCATCAGGGGTCTGGTGCAGGGACTTCATCTGGGGTTGTCAGATTGTGATGTTAACTTATAAGCAGCCTGATTTTTATGTGTGCACCAACAGAAATGAAGCAAAGATTACAGCATTGTTTTTAGCCAGAGGGAGCACCTCTGAAACTAAAGGGGAGAATCTCGTATACCAGGATCTTGGTACTTGGACAAGGTCTGAAAAAAGATCACATGGTTATTCTCCTGTGCACAGTGACACCAAATGTGTTTCAGTTAGGTCTTGAATGGCTGAGATTTATGCTGTAAGATCTATCAGCATGAACAACGCGTGGACTTACTGGTGCTCTGCTCATATCTAGGGAGACTCAAGGGCCACATTCCAGCTAATTCCTCTCAAAAAGGAGCATGTGGCTTGCTGGATAGTTCCTGGGTTACCCCATCCTTTCCAGTTTCAGAACTTAAGGCATAATCAGGTTCTTTCCATGTATATAGGTAAACAGAGACCTGCTGAGCAGAAGAGGCCACAAAAGGTCTTTGAAAGGACACTTTGGTTATGGATGGGTGAATTCCTACTGTAAACAGTCAGCAACATCTTCCATGAATTTATCTGGTTGGATACACAAGCATTCTGCTTGTCTTAGGGAAGCCAAGCCCTTCAGACTTGGAGATATCATGTCTAAGCCCTAGCAGAAAACTTCAGCCAAGTTGCAGGCTCCTGAAGTCAAGCCATCTGGTTGCCTTTGGACAGAGAGCCGTCTTCTCCATGATATCTCCTTCTGGAGCAATAGTGTGCACCAGCAGCCCTTTCCAAGAGCATCTCTGAAATATCTCTTGGTTTTGCTCTTCTCTCTAGCTTGTACTTCTTAGTTTCACTATTCTTCTAATTTCATTACTGGAAATTTTTTTCTCCAAAAATACAGTAAGTTTTAAAGTATCAAAAAGTTTGAGACTCAGTGGATAAGCAGGAAGTGCTCTTTCACTGAGGATGTTTGAGTAGAGATTTTGGAATCTACTTGATGGCAATGGGTTTTTTGATTTTGGTTAATGATAATGTCAGGAATATTAGAAACAAAATTCCTGCTGAAGTTTAAGGCTGGATTGATAACCTTTCTGAGTCTCCTTCTGACTCCCAGCTATTTGATTCTAGAATTAAAATGCTCTTGAGTATGGAAAATGAATTTGGTCTGTGAACTTTCACTCAAATCACAATAAAGACATTTTTAAGAAATGAATAAAATGCCCTTGAACTGGCAAATTAAAGTCTGATGAACTTCTTTTTGTCCATAACTAAAATAGTTCTTAAGTTTCCTCTTCAAGCAAAATTAACTAGAATACTGACCTGCTACTAATATTACTAGTGCTGATAATGATGATAAAGCTAATTGCCATTACTTTAATTCATTGATGTTTAGACAGTGCTAAAGGAGCTTTGCTGGTGTAGTAGTTAAGGCATTTGGCTGCTAGTCAAAAGGTCTGTGGTTCAAACCCACCAGTTGTTCCACAAAAGAAAAATGAGGCAGTCTGCTTCTGTAAAAGTATACAGCCCTGGAACCCCGATGTGGCTTGCTATGAGTCAGAATGGACTTGATGGCAGTGAGTTTGGTTTGGTGGATGCTGCTGAATGTGGGCTCTTCTCCCACCTTCCCTTTCTCTGCCTCTCCTTTTCCCTTCTTTCTTCCTCCCTTCACCTGCTGTTGTTTTTTCCCTACCTCTACCTCCTTTTTCTTCTCTCCCCCTTTCTTCCTCCTTTCTTCTTCCTTCTCCCCTCCTGCTCTCCTCATCCCCCTTCCCTCCTCCTCCTCCTACTTGACAAGCTGTGAAAACTTGGTCAAGTCGCTGCACCTCTCTGGGCCTTAATTCCCTCACCAATATAGTACAGGGCTTGAATAGTTAGCTTCGCAGATCCTGTCTAAAATTCTAATTCTGTTATAAAATTCTGTGATTCCTGGTGAAAAGTATCTAAGCTTATACTGTCATTAAGCTTTATCATGGGTCCCAGTATCCCTTCTATCTCTTCTATCCCCTTTGATGTAGGAAATTTTGGTTAGTGACAAGGACTAAATTAAAATTTTTTAAAAAATAGAAAAGAGAAATTGTAAAGTCCACCTTCATAATAAATACCCATTTCTGGCTTGGAAATTAGAATAGAGTCAAAGTCACTTTGGTTCCTTTGACTACATGCTTACCTACTACAAAATCTAAGGATGCTTTTCCACTAGTTTATTGTTTGATGGGTTACTTGAGAAAATCATAATGAGGACTGCAATGGCATCACAAGTGTTAAATACGGAAAAAAAACACTGTAAATTGTGTGTGTGTAATAGAATAGGGATAAATTATGGATTCTATAGCAAAAGGGTGAAAAGAAAGAAGAAAGGAGGAGATATGAACAAAGGCAAGATAATATCCCCATATCGTCATGGGGTTTCCAGAGCAAATTAGATTAGATTATTTGGGTAGGCTTTTTCAATGCTACTATTTGCCTATTTGAAGGCCCTCTCTCTTCTTATCCTCCTTTTTCCCTTCTTCCTTGCTGCCGTCTAGCTTGCCACCTCTATTTCCCCTGAGAGACAAGTAGTATTTGGGTTTTGAAAAATAACATTGAGAACAAATTCCCAAAGCAGGTGTCAGTGGGAGTTATTTGAGCAAAATAGCTGGGGGCAGAGATTGTTCCTCAATTGCACATTCTAAAAACTGTTAGGGATAAAATGTGTCCCATTTAGCATACATTAGATGAACAGAAGTATGTTAACTGTAGGCCGAAAATTGTTTCAAATGTACACCTTCGGTTTATATCCTTGATTTCTGAAAGGAGATCCTGATATGCAGTGTGGTCTGGGAAGAGTGTGCATATGTAAAAACACCCTTCTCCTCTGCCGAGACTTAGGGTGACCTTGGCTGTAGGCAGCACTGTATCTGGGAGTTCATCAGTATTCATTACCTGTGGATAAAGATCTCTAGTGGTCCCTCTTTTTTCACATGAATTTGTACTGTGACCACAGAGTAAGACCAGTGACCAGCGCAGAGCAGTAAGCTTCACTTATGGCTAGGTCTGTCTGAAACCTCTTTCATGTTCAAAGTATCCAGTTGTCCCGACTTCTGTCTTACAAGCAGCACTTTGTTTTAGCTTCTGCATTGAAGGATCACTTTTGGAATTCTAGCTTCCTTTCTGGGTGGTGGGTGAAAATTGTCTCTCTCGAATAATGTTGTATATGTGGATATGGATGCTTTTGTTCTTATGGACTCTAGATGATAGGGATCTTGACATTATGATATTTGACTATCTGTATGAAAACATATTAAAGGAAGATAGAGATTCCTCTTTCTGACTTGAGCTGCTTGCAAATCCCAGGACATCTGCCCAAGCAATAATTCATGACTTCTGCAGATATAGATGTTCCCATCACTATTACCCAAGACAGGCAGAAGGGGTGACTCCTTCCCTCCATTTCCATTATGGATAATGCCTTTGACAAACTGCCTGAGTGCCCTGGTGACAGGTATCGTGGAAATAAAGAGGCCACATCAGATGTGGGAGCAACAGGCAGAATGACTTCATCTTAGCTTCTGTGGCCCTCACTAGTATTAGTCTCCTTGACTTGCACTGAAGCAGTGGAGAAGATAATTACTGCTGAGTATCAGTCCAAGAGGGTGGTGTCCACCAGTCTCTCTGGTTTGAGTTGTCTGCTTCAGGGTGAGGCCCTCAGGAAGAACCATACATGTGGGTTCGCCAGGCTGCAGGTCTACCTGATGCCCAACTGCTGGGCAATCACACAGCTCAATACTCATTGCTTTCTGTTGTTTTTCTTCTCAAGGTTTTTGGAAACATAAAATTAGATGAAGAGAGTCACATCAATCGGCACAACAACTTCCGGAGTTTCTTCGGTTCTCTCATGCTGCTCTTCAGGTACTTGGGTGCATAACTGTTGCAGCCAGGGCACTCCTGGTGGAGGGAGATGAGTTGATTTGTCTCTTCCTCCACTTCTCTTTGTCTCTTGATTCTGCTTCCTCTACTCCTGTCAGGATGTGCTGTAGAATGGGGGAGGGAGGGAGACAATGAGTTTGTGAAATTACCCAAGGACATTAGAAAAGTTAGATCAACTCCTTGGTCTCGGTAGTTGATTTGCAAGTTGCAATTTCAGCATGACATCCAGGGCCCTGGAAGGGGCAGGTAAAGAGAGTTTCTTGAAGACCAAAATCCATATAAGGCCTAAAACCTTAGATGACCAGATTTATGTGGAGTCTTAGAAAGTACCATGATTATCTCTACCACTATTAACCAAGACCCCTCAGAAGATGGAGAAGCAGTGGGTCAGTGTCAGAACTCAAGAGCAGCTTCATTGGCACTCTTCATCCCTCAATGGAAAGAGCTAGAGGAGGCTCACTAGGCTCTTTTTTGGGGCCTGAGCAAGAGAAAGGGATGAGTGAACTGGCAAAGAGGCCTAGGCAAGGGATAGGGCACGCAGACCTGCTACTGCTAATTCAAATGTCTTTTGGGCTCAGGAGTGCCACAGGTGAGGCCTGGCAGGAGATTATGCTGTCATGCCTTGGGGAGAAAGGCTGTGAGCCGGACACCACGGCACCGTCTGGGCAGAACGAGAATGAACGCTGTGGAACCGATCTGGCCTATGTTTACTTTGTCTCCTTCATCTTCTTCTGCTCCTTCCTGGTGAGCAACATTATGCTCTTGGTTTGAGATGTGGCCTATCCCATCTCACCCCAACTTCTCTGATAAATAGATAAGACATGTTTCCTTGGAGTACATTCTCTGTCTCTGTCTCTGTTTCTATCTCTGTCTCTGTCTCTCTCTCTCTCTCTCATACACACAAACACACACACACATACACACATACACACCAGCCCATTAAGAAACAGGCCTTCAAGAGAACTCTTGGAGGTCAGGGTGCTTCTCAGACTCTGGGTATATGACTTTAAATAGCTGAGGAAAATCTTTGCTGCTTCTAGGGAAAGATTGTTGTGAGAAGGGATGATGAATGGGATATGGTTCAGTGAATACAGCTTTGAGCTTCATACCAAATCTGTTGTAACCCAGAAATAATCATTTCTCTTTGCCCCCACTTATTTTGTAAGTAGGAATAAGAACATCTTTCCTCTCTTATGGAGACTTTTGAACTGTTTCAGAAAAAGTGCCCTGGAAATTAAAAAAAAAAAAAAATTCACTGCTGTCGAGTTGGATCCGACTCATAGTGACCCCTCCTTGGGTTTCTAAGGTGGTTTCTCTACAGAAATAGATTGCCCAATCTTCCTTCCGAGAGGAGTAACTGATGGGTTTGAACTGCCAGCCTTCTGGTTAACAGTCAAATGCCTTAGGCACTACGCTACCAGAGCTCCTTGAAAATACAAGGTGATACAGCATTAATAAGAGTAGAATGATGACAGTAGCACAATGTAATAGACGTAGTTCTCTCTTGACTTGTGGTATCATGGGGTTTTTTTGTTGTTGTTGTTTTTACAATGGGCCAACTTGATAGAAATGATAGATATGAGTGATATGAGTATTAGTAAATATTGAGTAATATCTGTGGAGGACACCCACTTAGAAAACAGTGAGATGTCCTCAGTGCCTTCTTTATTCGTTCTTTGGGAGAAAGTATGAATCAGCACATCAGCATCCTGAAATTGCTACCCTGCACACTCAGACCAGCAGTGATAAGCAGAATAAATGGATGACATGCTACCAGATCAATAAAAGGGTCAGTCTCATGTTTCTGACCACCCTGACATCCCTCAGCTCAGCTTCAGTGCTAATGCCACTGCCTGTACAAAAGGCAGATGACTCAAACAGTGATGCTGCTGAAAAGTGGTCAATTCATGGCAATGCATCAAAAAGTGAATTAATTTTCTCATGTCTAAGGCATTTCTAACTCTTTAAAGTGGAAGAAAGACCCCAAGGGGACTATTAAGTGTAGCTAGCAGGTTAATGGATCACAGAATGTACTAACTGGAGACTTGGGTAACTTACATTGTGGTCTTGGCTTTGTTGCTGTTCTAGCCTTGGCTGAGACACTTTGCCTTTTACAGTTTTTGTCAAATAGGAGGAAAATGACTTGATTAGAAGAGTATATAGGCATAGTGGGCATGTGTTTTAATACACTTTCTTCCCATGTATGTGAAAGAATTTTCAATGAACAAATAATACAAAACTGTATACTGTTTAACATTTGTGAGTATAATGTATGATGAAAATAACTGAAAGAGAATTTAGAAAAATTATATTAATTTGAGTTTTAAGTTTATTCATGCATGTATTCAGCACATTCAGTGCAGTTTTTTGTTTGTTTTTTGGGGGGAACATTTTATTGTGCTTTAGGTGAAAGTTTACATAGCATATTAGTTTTCTATTCAATAATTCATACACAAATTGTTCCATGACATTGGTTGCAATCTATGCAATGTGTCTGTAGCCTCCTCATTTCCACTCTGGGTTCCCTGTTTCCATTCGTCCATTTTCTCTGCCCCTCCCAGCCTCCTCATCTTTGCTTTAGGGCAAAAGGTGCCATTTTGGTCCATATAGTTGATTGTTCTAAGGAGCACATTCCTCACAGTGTTACTGTTTATTTTATTGGCCAGTCTCTTGCTCATTTGAGAGATGGCCTCTTCAAGTGGCTTCAGCTCCAGGTGAGAAGGATGATTTAGGTCAATAGTCTGGGGGGCTCCTCCAGTCTCTATCAGTCCAGTAAATCTTTTTTTTTTTCTTCCTTTTTTTTTTATGAATTTGAATTTTGTTCTATATTTTTCACCCATTCTAACTGGGACCTTCTTTGGTGTCCCTGGACAGAAAGGTCAGTAGTAGTAGCTGGGCACTGTGTAGTTCTTCTGGTCTCAGACTTGAAGATGCTATGATTCATGAGGACTACAAGTCCTGCAAATTAATATCTTCTCTGGGTCTTTGGTTTCCTTCTTTCTTTTTTGCTCCAGATGGGAAAAGACCAGTAGTTGTATCTTAGATTGCTGCTTGCAAGCTTTTAAAACCCAGATGCTACTCACCAAACTAGGATATAGAACATTAATTACCCATATGAGCTATGCCATGCCAATTGATCTAGTTGTCTCCAGAGACTATGGTCCTTAGCCTTCAAGCCCAGTAGTTTCATCTCATAGGTATTTGGTTATGTCTAAGAAGTTTCCATAAATATTCCCCCATATGCTCTATTATGTATAGGAATATACATGTAGGATATTACAAATATGTATGTGGAAATATCCAAAACTAGACCTATATATAGACCATAACTAGACCTATATTGCATGCAAGTATAGTCCCATAAAACCTTCCACATGCAGGATTTCATGTGTCATACATAGCATTAACCATTAAAAAAAAAAAAACAAAATACTGCCATCGAGTCAGATCTAACTCATAATGACCCCTTCTTGGGCTTCTGAGGCGACATCACTATAGAAGTGGATTGCCCAATCTTCCTTTCGAGGAATGGCTGGTGGGTTTGAACTGCCAGGCTTCTGGTTAGCAGTCAGATGCCCTTTATTCTTGCAGACCTCTCAGTGTCTTCCTTTACCTTGATCACAGTGTGCTGACTTTCTCCATATTGCATATTGCCTTTCCCTTCACCAGAATAAATACGTGTTTGCTATCTAGTTAGGGATTCTCCCTTCCTTCCCCTCCCATCGCTGGTAGCCATCAAAGAATGTATCTTTCTGTGTGTAAACCTATTCTTGATTTTTTATAATAGAGGTCTAATACAGTATTTGTCCTTACGACTATTTTACTCAGCATAACATCCTGCAGATTCATCCATATTTTGAGGTGTTTCATGAATTTATCATTATTATTTATCATTGTGTTGCATTCCATTGTATGTATGTACCACAGTTTGTTTATCCATTCATCTTAGGTTGTTTCTGTATTTTTGCTATAGTGAATAATACTGCAGTAAGCATGGGTGTGCATGTCTATTAGTGTGACAGCTCCTGTTTCTCTAGGATATATACCTAAGAATGAGATTGCTGGATCATAGAGTATTTCTATTTCTAGCTTTTAAAGGAAGTACCATACCATTTTTCATAGTGATTGTACCATTTTATAATACCACCAGCAATGTTTAAGAGTTCCAGTCTCCCCACAGCCTCACCAGTGTTTGTTGTTTTCTGTGTTTTTTTGATCAGTGCCATTATTTCTGGGTTTGGATGGTATCTCATTGAAGTTTTAATTTTTTTCTAATGGCTAATGATCACTAGCATCTCTTCACGTGTTTGTTAGCTAACTGAATGTCTTCTTTGGTGAAGTGTCTATGTCCTTTGTCCATTTTTTAGTTAGATTGTCTTTTTGTTGTTGAGGTGTTGAAGTTTTCTATACATTTTGAAGATTAGATCCTTGTCAGATACATTGTTGCCAATTTTTTTTTTTCTTGTCTATAGGCTCTCTTTTTACTCTTCTGGAGAAGTCTTTTGATGAGCCTAAGTATTTAATTTTTAAGAGGTCCCAGTTATATAGTTTTTCTGCTGTTTGTGCATTTTAGTTATGTTTGTTAGTGTAGTTATGCCATAAATTAGGGACCGTATGTGTTTTCTTCCATGGACTTTATAGTTTTAGGTTTAGTATTTAGGTCATTGATCCATTTTGTTGGCAGGTTTTTTTTTTTTTTTTTTTGAGTGGCTACTAGAATTCTTACACTGAGCTAGACCCTGGGTAGAACTCTCAGGAAAAAACAGCCCCTCCCTCACCTAGAGTCAAAGGGGAAACAAGAATACAGTGTGTCACCACTTGCTATGTTCATGGAGTGATGTGTCACATATGGAAAGGCATATAAACGTCTCAATTTTATCCTAGATGTTTTAACTGTTTAATAAGAAATATTTAAAAGAACCCAAAACTGTAACTGGGAAAGTATTTAGAGACTATAAAGGTACTTTTAGACTTTTTCAGATGGAGTGTGCTGCATAATTAACATTGACATGATTTTGAAAGAGTTGCAGTGCCTAAGGTATTTGACTGCTAACCAGAAGGTTGGCAGTTCAAACCTACCATCTGCTTTGCAGAAGGAAGATGGACAATCTACCTCCATAAAGATTTACCACCTTGGATATATAGTAGAGCTGACAAGGGATAAGGCTGTAGTCACTTCTTCGCCACAGCCAGTTATCTGGAGGGAACAAGTAGTTGGACCTGTGGGCTCGGGACCATGGTCATAGGGGATATCAAGCTCAATTGGCATAGCCAAAAACAAAAAAACAAACTCACTGCCGTGGAGCTGATTCCGACTCATAGCAACCCCTTGGGTTTCCGAGGCAGTATCGCTACAGAAGTGGATTGCCCAGTCTTCTTCCAAGGAATGGCTGGTGGATTTGAACCACCAGCCTTCTGGTTAGCATTCAAATGCCTTAGGTACTACCAGAGCATACTACACAAAACCATTGTTCCACATCCTACTTTGGTGAGTAGCGACTGGGATCTTAAAAGCTTGCAAGTGGCCATCTAGATGCAATGATGGGTCTCTGCTCATCCAGAGAAAAGAAAAATGAAGAAAACCAAAGACACGTGGAAACAATTAGTCCAAGGCACTGGTACACCATGCTATCCTCAGCCTACATGTCTATGAGACCAGAACTAGAAGGTGCCCAGCTACCAATGTCAACCACTCAGAGGGAGATCTATATAGGAGATCCTGGATAGAGTGGGAAAACAATGTGCAGCAAAACTCAAAATCATTAAAAAAAAAGGGGGGGGGGACCAGGTTTGCTGGTCTGATAGAGCCTGGTGGCACCCCTGAGACTATGGCCCCTAGCTTCCCTTCAGGTCTGGAATTGAATCCACTCCTGTGGCTTCTAACCAAGCAAAGGACAAGCATATGAGCTGAACATTTACTTTAGGTAGTTGTACTCCTTGGAGAGATCAATCATGGGAGAATAGAAGGGCTGTGTATACATAGGGAGACAGCTCAGGGGCAGGAGTGCATGTGAGGGAAGGACACAGGAAAGAGGTATCTATGGGGAGGAAGTGGGAGGGGAGCTGTTGCATTGTGGGAAATTGCAGTCAATGTCATGAGATGTGTATGTGAACTGCTATATGGAAAATGAATTTGCTCTGTAAACTTTCACCCACATCACAATAAAATTTTTTTCAATGAAAAGGATTTACCACCTCGGAAACCCAGGGGGGTTGACTCAATGGCAGTGAGTCTGTTTATATATATGATATTCAGTACTATATAATCTGCTTTCAAATTGTGGCCCTCTATGAGATTGACCCTGAGTAAGCCATACAGTTTCTCAATTCAAATCAACCACTCTATACTAATCTTAGGGACCTATGATGCATGTGCCAGGCTGGTGTACTTAAACATACAAATGTGAATATGAAGCACTTGAGTCCTTGAAGGGGTGATGGTAATTCAACCTGTCTCACAAAGTGTTAGAGTGAGCATTAAAACAAGTAATGGGTGTGAATGTGCACACTGTATTATAAAAGCCTCTACAAATGCCAAGCAATAATAATAATAATAATAATAATAATCCTTTTTGTTAACGTTAATAATTACATACCTTGAAAGGAGTGTAAAGATATGTGAGTATACATGGAAAACCCTTTAAAACCCTGGCAGTAGGTAAATAAATTCACTGCATATCCAATCTCAGTGACAGAAGGAAAGGCCCATGTTCAGTCAGTCAGCTGCATGAGACAGAAATCTCCAAATAATAGTGTCTTAACCAAGAGGGATGGATTTCCCTCCACGTCAGTGCAATCTGGAGGAAGCAGTACAGGCCTGGGATGGGGGCTACACAGAGCTGTAGGGCATCAGATTCCTTCCTGCTTTTTGCTCCATGACCCCCATGGAATATCCTTCACCTTCATGGTAAGAGCTGATAGCTGGATGCCTGACCATTTACTTGTATTCTAAGCAGCAGACTGGAGGAAGGAAAAGCAAATGGAATGAGACTGGCTATGAAAGTACACCAGAAGATGCCAACTTTCACCCTCTTCCAGATTTTCTTTTTATCTCGTATACCTTGTTTGTATACCTGTCACCTCCATCTGCCCAGCCACTTAATCTGGACTATGGGAATCATCAAGAGACATCTCTATTCCCTCATCCCCACAGCCAATTGGTCTCCATCAGGCAGGACTCTTTTCCTCGGAGGTGACAGAAAGCTCAGCTAATTTGGCCTAACCTAAGAAAAGGGATTTCATAGGTTCATGTGAATAAAGAGTCCTGTGGCAGGACTGGCCTACCCAAAGACATGATCTAGGGCTTAGATGATTCACAGGCCCAGGTTTCTCTCTCTATTTATATATCTTGTGGCTCCACTCTCCTCCATATTAACTCTTCTCTCAAACACCCCACCCTTAGCTCGAGACCTCACATCCTCACATACTCAAGATCAACAGGGAAAAACTAGAGTCTTTTGTCCATTGACTTTGATGAGATCACTTGTTCAACCTTTCATCCATCACTGTGGCCCAGGGAATGGAATTCAGTGATGAGCTGAGGCTTGGTCACACGTGGTGCCCCACTGAACCATACTAACTCTGAATAGGCAAGGGGTGGATGCTTAAGAGATCAAAAGTCCAGCAAATGGCATCAAGGAACCATTTGAAATAACAAAAAAATAACAAAACGATGTTGTTCACTGTGGTCACCAAGTCCAGTTGAGTCCACCTCCTCTACTCTTTACTCCTGTCCACACTACTATCCCTGCTTCTGGCTTAGTTCAAGAACACTGCCACAATCTCCTGCCTGATCTCTGATCCTCCCACTCATGTCCCCATTCCTGCCCACCCTCCACACTGCTACCCATGGTTCTTTCTGAATGCAAATGTGCCTTGGAATCTCTCCTAGTTAAAACTCCTTCTGTGGCTCCTATTGCCTACTGAATGGTCTAGACCAGGGGTTGGCAAACAAACTACAGCCCACAGGCCAAATACAGTGTACTCCCTGTATTTGTAATATATGAGCTAAGAATGATTGTTACATTTTAAAATGGTTGCAAAAAGTCAAAAGATGACTAATATTTTGTGACATGTGGAAATTATAGGAAGTTCAAATTTCAGTGAGCATAAATAATGTTTTATTGGGACACAGTCATGCTCTTTCATGTACATATTGTCTTTGGTTGCTTTTGCAGAACTGAGTAGTTATGCTAGAGACTATATGGCATGAAAAGCCTAAATATTTACTATCTGACTAGTTTTCCAGCTCCTGGTCTAGATCCTTTAGCATGGTTTACAAAATGCCATGATCTGGTGCTTTGGACCCAGCTACACTGCCCTTCACGTTGTTCCCTGAAAGCACTTCATTTCTGTGCAGCTTGTTCACATTCATTCGTGCTGGCTCCTCTGCATAAACCACCCTCCTCTATGCCCGTGGCTACCTGGTGAGCTGTTCCTAGTTTTTTCAGGTCCCAATGCAAACATCAGACCTATTACAATTTTTTTTCTTCTGACTCCACTATAACCTATAGATTCTTCTTTCCTGGCTCTTAAGAAATTTGTGTCATTTGTGTTTTTGCATATGTCATATTCTCTACTAAATAAGTCTTTGAGAAAATTCCAGTAACATTTGCTGAAGGCCTGCTAAACTTTAAGCACTGTGCTAGACATGGGAATATATCTCTAGACTTTTCTCATCTCATATCCCCAGCACCTGGATCTCTGTTTGGAACATAATGAGTATGCAATAAATGTTTTGTTGAACAAATAAGTGGAAGAACTGAGTCTTAGAAGCCGCTTAAGAGCCATGAACATCTGTAAGTTGCCACTCAGTAAGCCATGAAGACAGCTCTAAGACATCTCACCAATTCTATGTTTGCACCCTTTGTGGAGCAAGGGTTGGGGAGGGAGGCTGAACAGGGAAAGGTGATATCAGGCTTTGAATTCCTCTAGCCTTCAAGAGTGTTGTGGTGACTACTGCTCTCTCTGCAGCTACAATAACAATTAAATAAATTGAACAGATGATAAAAGTGCATATGGAGTACTTTGTAAATATAAAAGGGCATAGAAAAATTAAATTATAATTCTCACACAATGAGCAGTGTGTGGCACAAGTAATGACAGTGTGTTGCATTCAGCCAGATCAACATTGCTTTATGGCACCTTCAGCGTTAATAACTTTTGAATTCTTTATTTGCCTTGAAGCTTGTTTTTCTGCTTCCTTTGCTTTGCTTAAGTTTCCCTGAACTCCCCTTCTGCCCCCTTACCCTTTAGATGCTCAACCTGTTTGTGGCCGTCATCATGGACAACTTTGAGTACCTGACTCGAGACTCCTCCATCCTGGGACCTCACCACTTGGATGAGTTTGTCCGCATCTGGGCAGAGTATGACAGAGCTGCATGGTGCGTAGACTTCTGGGCCACCCAGGGGCCTCATATCCGGGGCCTCTGGAGTTCTCAAGGAAGAGGTTGGAATTAGAGCCACCCAAATGCTTGCCTGGTACATACAGAAGGAGAGAAGATTCTTCTTAGTCTTGGCCTAAGGAAGAGGCTTAGTCCTCTGACTGGCTCTGTTATCAAGCCAGTCACCAACGACTTGCCCTTTTTATCTTTCTTTACCCTTTCTTTCCTTCTGTGACAGGCTTTTCCCTTTCCTTACCAGTCCCACCACTCAGACCTCATAGGAGCTTCTGACAAGCCCTTTCTTCTCCTGGCAGTAATCAGTGGACTCCTTTGAGTCACCAGGAGATGTGACAAAATTCTCTAAGGCAGCTGGACATCTGGTCACCATGCTCAGTGACATTAGCATTTTATTTTTTTCATACCTCTCAACAGGTACAGTGTGTGATAACTCTGAAATTATATAACAAACAAAGCAAGTTGTTCTTCAAACTGTTCTGTTAAACACTTAGTTTTTATTGCATAGGATGAAATTAAATGCAGGAATTAGCAGGGATAACGTCCCAGCCTCTCTTTCACTGTCCAGCTGTTCTGAAATGAAGTTGTACTGTCTGAGCTTTAGAGCAAGGGTTGGCAAACTATAGCCTATGGACTAAATTTGGCCCACCAACAGTTTTTGTAAAGTTTGATTGTAACATAGCCACACCCATTTATTTATTATTGTCTTTGGCTACTTATAGGAGCTCTGGTGGCATAGTGCCTAAGGCATTTGTCTGCTAACCAGAAGGCTGGTGGTTGAAACCCACCGGCCACTCCTCAGAAGGTTGGGCAATCTATTTTCATAGTGATGTTGTTGTTGTTGTTATGTGCCGTTGAGTCAGCCCTGACTCATAGCGACCTCTCCTTGGGTTTCTGAGGCAGTATCACTATGGAAGCAGATTGCCCAGCCTTCCTTCTGAGGAGTAGCTGGTGGGTTTGAATCGCCAGCCTTCTGGTTAGCAGTCAAGTGCCTTAGGCACTACACTACTAGAGCTCCTTTTCATAGTGATACCACCTTGGAAACCCAAGGAGGGGCTGCTATGAGTCGGATCCGACATGGCAGCAGTGAGTTTGGTTTTTTCGGTTTGACTACTTTTTGCACAGTCAAATCAGGATTGAGTAACTGTGACAATGATGGTGTGGCCCACAAATCCCAAAATAGCTACTGTCTGACCCTGTACAGAAAAATGTTGCCAACTCCTGCTTTAGCATGCAATGGGGCAGCATTGCAGCCCTCTCTGTTGAGGAGGGGTGAGAGCTCTTATGAATGCTCACTCCACATGGGCTTTTCTGTCCCAGGTTGTCTTAGCTTTAGGATCGTAACTTACTAGTATGTCCATTCTGGTCACCCTCTGAAAATACTTCAAGAATTGTCATCATTCTATACAGAAATGGGCCATGTTGCTTCCACCTGGATCCCCTTCATAATCTGAGACTGTTCCCAGAAGCTATCTTCTTGTGAGACTGTTCAGCTGGGATTGCTGCTCCAGGGGCTGGAAGAATGAATTGGAATTCCTCTTCTCCTCAGTAATCATGACTTAGGGCACAGAGTTCTCTGACTTCATGCTTGTTACCATGGCTGCACAACAGCTTTTACTTTCTGGGTGTACTTCGTATAGTAGGTGGCCTCCTTAAACAGCAAAGGGCAGTGTTAGAGGGGGATGCACGAAGACACTTAACTACTCTGAGTTCCCTCATCTATGTTGTTGTTATTGTTAAGTGCCATCGAGTTGGCTCTGATTCATAGTGACCCTGTGTATAATAGAAGGAAACACTGCCTGGTCCTGCACCATCCTCACAATTGTTGCTGTGCTGGAGCCCATTGTTGCAGCCACTGTGTTAGTCCATCTTGTTGAGGGCCTTCCTCTTTTTCACTGACCCTCTACTTTATCAAGCATGATGTCCTTCTCCAGGGACAAGTCACCCCAATAACATGACCTACCTTTAAGAGTGTCTGTGAGGATTATATTAAATCCTGTATATAACTATTAATATAATTGGCACAGACCATATGGGAATGCAACTGGAATATATGAAAAGTTGATACCTAAAAAGTATGGGTGGGTATGAGGTTGGGAGCTTAAGAAGGGACCTCTTTACTCACCTGAGAGAGGAGAAACTAACTTATAGCAAAAGAGTTCATTGTTCACCTCGGTTCACTAAGGTATCTCTGGCTCTCAGAAATCCCAGCTTCCTGTGGTTTCATGTAGTCTTTGGATTCAAATGCCATGTGAACTAGACACATTCCTCCCCACTCATTCCAGCTGCTGGGAAGAAAGGATCCCATGAGGATTAATCATGAGACTCAGACATGTGAATTGTGAAAGAGCCAAAAGACAAAGAAGAAATCTCTTCATATCTGGTGTGAAATTCACAGTATAACTAGTTCTGATTGATGTCATTGGCTTTCCCTGTGAGATGAGGGGGAATCAACCAACAGAAGTCAAGTGAGCCAATGTATTCAAAAGGAAGACTGATTATAGGTTGCAAAGAACATCAGTCGATAGTAGCTGCCAGTTCATCCACTACCTGCTCACTAAGAAACCAAATAAAAGAATCCGTGCTTAAATTACTTCCCAAGAGTCTAGAGACTTAGAAGTACTGATGAGCTGCTATTTGAAAGACCAAGAGGAATCAAAATCAAAATCATGAAAAGGCTAAAAAGGGGGCAAAGCACTAGTCTAGAGATGGCTGCTGGCCAGGACTGAATGCTCAGAGATGGAGAGACCAGATTTATAATTTCCATTGGGAACCCTGGTCCAGACCTGCAGATCCCTCTCCTGTTGCTCTCTTGTTCTGGCCCATGATGGGGCAGATTCTTGAAGCCACTGGCATGTTACTATTGTAAGCTCCTCATTCATGGTGACCCCAAAAGAGAATGAAACACTGCCCATCCTTAAGATTGATTGCAGATCAGACTCTATGATACAGAGTCTTCATTGGCTGATTTTTGTTAGCTGATCACTAGGCCTTTCTTTCTAGTCTGTTTTAGTTTAGAAATGCTACTGAAACTATTCAGTATCATAGCAACACGGAAGCCCCCTCTGACAGATGGGTGGCATTTGTGCATGAGGTACATTAACAGGGAATTGAACCTAAGTCTCTTGCATGGAGGCAAAAATTCTGCCACAGAACTACCAATTCCTCCATGACTGCATATAAATCCATTGTTAATTCTGCCCCATCCACAGGGAGCCAAAGCTCTCTAGCAGGCCCGTATAAAGAGAGTTGATAGGATAGGTCACGTTACTCCTAGAATTCTGATGGGATTGGCCAACCTGCCCATGCATTGGGACTGGGAGAGACTGTACCTGGCCACCTCCCAGGCTACTCTCTGAACACAGACCCCAGCAGGCTCCCACAGAGTAGAGAAGCACTTGCCCAAGTAAACCAGGGAAAAATCTGTCCCAAAGAGAAGCGAAGCCCTTTGCAAATCCCCTCATGCCAACTGTGCTCCATGCTAATTAGCCTAATGGGGAATTTGTCTCTCGCAGTCTGCAGAAAGATTCTGACTTACCACTGCTCTGACAAGTGGGTCTGAGTAACTGAATGTAGTCAGTGTCTGTGAAGAGCAAACAGTTCTGCAGTCCACTTCAGTCAACCTGACATCTGCTCTTGACAGCTGTCACAGGCACTGCTGAATTGCCATGCTTTGCTTCTTAGAGGCCTCACTCGAGCTTGAGTCCTGTTTCTGGCTTGAATGGATAAATACAGAAGCTCTGGTGGAGCAGTGGTTAAACCATCAGCTGCTAACCACAAAGCTGGTGGTTTGAACCTACCAGCTGTTCCGTGGGAGAAAGATGTGGCAGTCTGCTTTTGTAAAGATCATAGCCTTGAAAACCCTATGGGGCAGTTCTAGTCTGTCCTGTAGGATCAGTATGAGTTAGAATCAATTCAGTGGCACACAATAGCAACAATGTAAGTAGGTGTGTATCTTGGGGCACTCTTGGGCAATAAAGCAGGTCCTTTCGCATTGGATGGGCTGTAATTTCCTTAGACGGTTGGGGACCGTGCAGTCTGGCAAGATGCTGGTTCTCTGGTGCTTACTGTTCTCAGTCTCTCCTGGTCTGGCTTGGCCAGCCCCAAGGAAAGAAGCTGCTGTTACCTCTCCCAGCCTTCCCCTTCATGGCTAAGCTGACATTCCTTTCCCATCTTCTCTGAGTGTCCTATTAACCCATCTGTGCTTCCTTTACAGCGGCAGGATCCCGTATAAGGATATGTACAAATTAGTGCGGGTGATCTCGCCTCCTCTGGGCCTGGGAGAGAACTGCCCCTACAGGGTGGCTTGCAAGGTTTGCCTCCCAGTCCCCAGCCGTGACTGTGACCGGCGGTGGGATGCAACATCTAATGCTTCCTGTCCTCTGCTCCACCACCACTGTGCTACACGAGGGAACCTTCATATTGCTTTCCTTTGAGTTTAAAGAGGTCCAAACACTCCCAGAACCAGCAGCTGTTACATAAGAAGAGGGACACATTTAGGGAGAAACAGAAAATAGTTAACTTCGTAATGAAGTTATGAGAGCACTTTTCTTGCTCATGCGCGCGCACACACACACACACACCCTTCAATCCATATAAGTCTGTAGATTTAAATCTACAGACTGGCATCCTTTTCACTCATGATGACCACATCCAGAAGTACCAGTAAGTCTGTAGATTTTACAAGAGGACCTTTCCCTCTAGGGAATGCAGAAGTCTTTTCACCCAGCAAAAAGTTCTGGTTTCCCTCCCACTGGAGAAAGAGAATCCCTCATTTTGGCAAAATGGCATCATCACCCATGTACAATGTATCAAAGTGTGGTTCTAGGCATCCCTGCCTCTGCCTACCCTCCCAGCTTGTAGGGAGTTTTGCCTGTGATATAGAACAGAAAGGAGGTGAAAAAAATAAAGAATTAGGGAAAGAGGTGAAAGGGGGTTAAGGAGACATAGATTTGGTGGTGTATGAAGAATTGAATAGCTCAGAGGGCTTGGGAAGGTCTCTGTAGATAAGGAAAAGCTACTGAGAAGATTCTTTGCCTTGGGGTTCTGACATATTATTGAGATGGGGCTGTGGGGTCTGTCATATTTGTCAAGTCACTGCTTATTTGTGAGAACAAGGGCGTTGTTCATGGGCACACGGGATCTCCCTCTCCACCTCTGCTTTTACTCTGGGAATGGTCTAATATCCCAGCAGCTCTGCCAAGTCCCCATCCAAGGCCAAGCCTGCTAGATAAGAAAATTCTCCAGGTGCTACACAAGGGAAGTATGGTCTCCCTGGGGCATAGCACAGCCCAGGCAGCTGGAAGAAGACATAGGCCCAGGAAGGATGCCAGCCTGGGCATCTGGCTTGGGATGAGGACACAGTGATTCCCGTATGCGGGAGGCCGAACAGCTGCCTCTGCTGAAACTCTTTAAACTCCACCCTGGTGAAACCTGCAGCCGCATGTGGGGAGAGCCGGGCGGACAGCATGGCATGCAAGAGGTTCTCCCTCCTCCAGGTTCTGTTCCTCTGTCCCCAGCATGCCACTGGCCTGGTGCATGCTGGGGAATCAGAAGCACTCCTCTCCACAGAGCCAGGTGGAAGCAACTGGGCCGACTCTCCGACCAGCAACCACAGCCCACCACTCTCTATGCAAGACGCTGCCTCCTGCTGCAAACTCACCACAGAGGGGGGATACACGATGTTCCACATGTGGGTTCAGGGCAAAAGAAAGGTCTGACTTCCAGGCCAGCACCCCAGCCCTAGCCGGGGCCACAAATTCCAACCCATGGCTGGAACACCGTCTATCCGGTTTATACCACTCATGCACAGCCCTGGGAATTCAAATCAACCTTGTATTTTATTGGGGACGGACGAAGTGAAGTCAGGGTCCGCTAATCCAGGAGGAAAATGAGTGCTAATGACAGTGCATGTGGAGAGTAGGGGACCAGAGGTTCCCACTCGTGTTCCCGGGTCTGTGTGGGGTGTGATATAAACCTGTACCAGGATGGAGTCACATGTATGATTTGCCTTGATTAACAGGTTTCCTATTCTTTTCCTGTTTGTCCACTTTGTTTTGTTTTTCTTCTCCTGTTTTCTGTTATTATTTTGTTTGTTTTTTGCTCTCTGGGAATGCCTGTTCTCCTCTCCTCCCTGTCTGCATCCTTCTTCCCACTTCCTTTCCTTTCCCTGCCACCCTTTCTGCCCTGCCACCCCACCCCATCCCAACTGACCACACCCCTCCATGAGCAGTGGCCGCATCCATTACACTGAGATGTATGAAATGCTGACTCTCATGTCACCACCGCTAGGCCTCGGCAAGAGATGTCCCTCCAAAGTGGCATATAAGGTAGACCACCCCTTCCTTTGTTCTGGGCTAGAGACCAACAGGAGATGGGATCCAGTGTGGGGAGGCCAGAACATGGGGAGGAGCCTGGGCTGGGGAGGCGGAGGAGCGGGCTCAGAGAAAAAGCAGTGATGAGACTGAGGAGTCAGGAAGGTTCACTGAAGAAGGATGAAGTCTTCAAATAATGCAAAGCATGGTTTGCAGTATTATTCAAAGTGGGTTTTTTTTTTAATGTGCTATTCTATGTTTCTACAAATATCTGGCTTGTTGTGAGTCGGTTTCTAGAAAGGAAGTGTTAAGTAATGTGTCGAGAGGTAGCCTGTGGGATAGCATATATGGGCAAGAAGGAAGCCTACAGCACAACGGCTATCAGAGATTATAAACAGAAAAATATCTTCAACCATATAAATTAAGAAAACAGTGCAGGAATTCCTCTGAACATGGTTCAAGAAGAAATTTTTAGGGGAGAGAGAGACTCTTAACAAATTTTTCTCTCCATGGAGTAGGAAGGAACCATGACATAGGTTCCTTCTAGGTATAAGGGGAAAAAAGGAACATGTCTTCTATCGCACAACAACATCAGCTTTCTTCTCCCATTAGCCCAGCTACCTCATTCTCTTGGAAATACTTAAGGGAAAGGGTGATGATGGACACAAATTGCTTTCAGTGTTAGATTCACCTCATTGGCCCAGCTGAGTCATGGGACCTAGCACTGGAGCTATGGGGTGGATTCCCCATGGCTTGCTCAGAGCAGCAATGAATATTGGGGTCATATGTATTGGGGTGCTCATAGCTTTGAGGCCTGGGATTTTTGCCTCCACACCTTAGTAATAGTTACTGTTAATTCCCCTTTATTTTTAAAATGGATCCAGAACTCTGGGACTCTTTCATTCACTTAAGAATACACCATAGCAATGCTACTACTTCTCTAGAAGTTTAAAGAAGTAGGAGAGATGGAGCTCAGAAACAAGCAATAAACTGGCTTTACATTCTAAGACATCATGTCTGTGGAACCAGTTTAGGAGAGAGGTCCCAGTGGAGCATTAGAGACCCTCCCTTAGGAGGAGACACTTCCCCTCCCAGCTAGGCTGGTGGTTCTGCTAGAGGACCTTCTGCTGCTGCCTCCAAGTTACCTAGCTCCAGAGAGCATCTCATTGAACTTGGGGTATCAGGGCACCCTCATCCATCCCAGTCCATAGCCTCTGAAGCATAGCTTGGGGACTGGCATCCTTTTCGCTCACGATGGCCACATCCAAAAGTACCAGGTGGTGGAATATTGCCCTGAGTTTTTTGCATTCATGGGATGAGGCTTGGTGGGAGAAAGGTACAAGATTGGAGGAAAAAGTCACAAGAATTCCAAAAACAAGATACTCTCTGGAAAGTGGATTTGGCCATTTCCATTTGATCCATTACCTTGGGTGAAAGGAACAAGGCCTGCCCACTCTGCTCCTGGCTTTGTCACCCTTCTTGCATTCCCTTTACTCTGCTCTCCCCATCCTTCTTCCCCAAGACCCTGTTTGCACTCTTTCCTTTCCCATCCTGTTCCACCTCATCCTTTGGATAAGTTGGAATTATGCATGTTCAGCCATGTGTTGGCAAATGCCATCTTTTCAAGACTCAAAAAGGGGGCACCAGGATGCATCTCTCAAGTCAGATAAGCAAAGCAAAATGTCCCCCTTCACTACCTTTCCATCTGAGTTTTGGGGTGTTCATGGAACAAGTGGAAATGTGGAGCTGCCTTAAAACATGGAATGGAGCCACCTCCCAGAGCTGACTCTTTTCCCTGAGCCACTTCTCTTAGAAACACTCCCCATCTCTGTCAAAGACATTCTTAGGACTATGGGGGAGTCCTACAGAATGACTAGGGAACCTCGTTCCCTTGGAATTTGGAATCATTCCCTAAGAAAAACAAAACAGCAGCAAATGAGCCTTCAGTGAAAAGCAGGGAGAGTAGGACTGGGAAAGGGGTGGGGAATCCTTGCCCTTCTTTTTTGTCTGTGCATTTGACCTCTGCACTTTTCATCCCTTCTCACCAAGATATCTTTCGATATTTTTTTGCCTCCTATTTCTTTTCTGTATTTCACACAGCGACTGGTCCTGATGAATATGCCAGTAGCTGAGGACATGACAGTCCACTTCACCTCCACACTTATGGCTCTGATCCGCACAGCTCTCGACATCAAAATTGCAAAAGGTAAGCTGAGGAAAGAAGGAAATGGATTCTGAAACAACTTACAGAGGATTGTGGAGGATGGAGATATTTCCACTTTCATCCACCTGCCTAATCACACCACCATGCACTGGCCTGGAAGTCCATACTAGAGCTTTGTCTCACCTCTGAGATGCAGTAACTCTAATATTTGCCATTTCCTCCTGGTAAAATACATGGTTTGATAATCTGGTTCTTTAAACTTTAGCAGTATATTATCTTCAGTGCCTGGTACATAGTGTGCATCCTAGAAGTATTTATTGAGCAAATGGATTCTCATTATATTCTTTTATATTTATTTATATTCTCTGACATGGTGTCTCTGGCAGGTGTTATCATAGAGGTCATGATGGTCCTTTGCTTCTCTTGATTTTCTAAGTCAGTGTTTAGGAGAGAAAAGGTTTGCTACTTCTTGATGGACCTTCAGCTTCCCTGCTCTTGCCAGATCCAAATCCTTTTCAAAGTCAGGTTACTCAGTCTATGGAGGCAGAGTGTCACTGGAAGGACATATGTACGAATAATGAGGCAGGCGAGCCTTACTCACGGTTGTTTTCATTTTTCCCTCTGATGGGTTGAACACCTGGGAGGCTTTTAGAAACAGTGAGGAAAGTTGATCTTGGTCTCAGGGCCTTGGATCTCTGTGGCAGGATATCTCAGAGTCACTGGAAATGGAAGGCAAAATCCATTCTGCTTCTTCAGCAGAAAGACCTAGTGTTGAAGATCCACTGTCACTAAATGCCAAGAATTCCTGTCAGAATATGAGGTGTCATGCTGAGTCAGTTCCTACCTCCACCTACTCCCTCAGTCCTTACTACTTCTATGTCCTATTTTATTTATTAATAATTTATCATATTCTAGGTGGTGCAGACAGGCAGCAACTAGATTCAGAGTTACAAAAGGAGACCCTGGCCATCTGGCCTCACCTGTCCCAGAAGATGCTAGATCTGCTTGTGCCCATGCCCAAAGGTATGGAGTTTCCTCCTGGGTCCTTGTTCCTGTGGGTCCAGTATGTTAAAGTTGTATGTTTTGGGGAACACTGAGTGAACAAGGAGATAAGGCAAGGATGCTCTTTTATCCTGAGGAAATGAGAATCTCAAAATTTCCTTTGTCATTCTTAGTTGAAAAGTTCTGTAACTTTCCACTTTCTGTAGTTAAGAAAGGTTCTGTAGTTGCAGATGACACTTCTTGGGTACATAGCTCTTTCCTTATGCATGAGTGCTCAGCAAATCCTCATGCAATTGGGAATGGGGGGGCGGTATTACATAGACATGAAAACCTGGTAGAGTATGAGGTGCTGCATACTAATGTATTCTTCTCATCAGTATCATCACTTGGGTTTCTATGTCTGCTCCCTGAGGGCAGAGATAAGGACCTATTCACTTTATACTCCCAGTGCGTAGCACAGTGCCTGACATGTAAGGAGAATGGGTGAATGAGTGGTGCAAACCTGCTTCGGAGAGTGGGTAACAAGGCTTTGAGGAATACTACCCTCTCCCACCTGTCTTCTCCCTATTCACACTATGCCACATATCTGTTTTTAGCCTCTGACCTGACTGTGGGCAAAATCTATGCAGCAATGATGATCATGGACTACTACAAACAGAGTAAGGTGAAGAAGCAGAGGCAGCAGCTGGAGGAACAGGTGAAGGTCAACCACAGCATGATGGGTGGGTGGGATATGAGATAGTTTAGAGATAGCTTAGAGACATTAGGAGACTCTGGTAGCATAGTGCCTCAGGCACTTGACTGCTAACCAGAAGGCTGGTGGTTCAAACCCACCAGCCACTCTTTGGAAGGAAGGTTGGGCAATCTACTTCCCACTACTTCAGTGATACTGCCTCCGCAACCCAAGGAGGGGTTGCTATGAGTCGGGTCCGACTGGATGGCACAAAACAACAACAACAACAGGAGGCACATGAGGGCTCCTGCAGGGACAGGCCCATGCATCCCTGGGGCCTAGGGCCCTGCAGGGACTTAGAAGCAAAAATAAAGAGAGTAGAGCCCAGGAACTTCTAATGGCATGTGAGATTGGAAACTGTGGGCCCAGGAATGATGGAGCAAAGGTTAAAATAGTCAAATGAACAAGGTATCAGTCATTAGGAAGCTAAGGGAGCAGTGGATTTATGTTAATGAAGGAGGAACAACTCAGAAAAGGAAGGTGGGAATGGTTGCACAGTTCAAAGAATGTCGTCAGTATTACTGAATGATACATGCAGAAGCTGTTGAATCGGTGTATGTTTTGCTGTGTGTATTCTCCACAACAACAACAAAATAAATTTTCTTAAAAAAAGACATCAGTCATCCTGTTTTACCCAAGTAAATGGTATATCCCACCAGCAGCAGAACCCACAAAGTCATCTGAGGTCCTTTCTTCCTCTTCCCACCTTTCACACAGAAAAATGCGCCGATGTTCCAGCGCATGGAGCCTTCGTCTCTGCCTCAGGAGATCATCGCTAATGCCAAAGCCCTGCCTTATCTCCAGCAGGACACCGTTACAGGCCTGTGAGTATCATCAAACGTGGTGCGGCACCCCAGCATGGAAAAGCAGACTAAGCATGGTGGCCAATCCTGGGGCATTGAACACTGTGGATGGACAAGGAAGGCAGGAAGCTTTGACTTGCTTTGATACACTAGGATCTTAGTTGTAGTTGTGTTGTGAAGAATAATCATTTTCTAGTCTAATTCTTCTTTAGGACGTCCCTGTGAAACTAGTGTCCTGCTAGGAAATATAACTGCCCTTGCTGGGTGTGAATTTTCCTGTCTGCAGAAAATAATGTTTGTTGAATGAAAAAGGGAAGGAGAACCAATAGTTAGTTACTGGATGTTTCCCTACGATAGGCTCTTCCAGAGACTATTTGCATCATCTTCCTTCATTCTCACTATAAAAACCTACTATGCCCTGGAGTTATGTATTAGTGTTCACAATTTATACAAATGAAGAAACTGGAGGCTAAAAGAGATTTTAAAAGCTGACCAAAGTCTTCTGGCTGGTAAGAAGCTGAACTGGGATTTAGAGCAGTTATTTGGGACTCACTGTACCATGGTAAAGAAGCTCTGCTGGTATAGTGGTTAAGACATTTGGCTGCTAACCAAAAGGTCAGTGGTTCAAACCCACCAGCAGGTGTGCGGAAGAAAGATGAGGCAGATTTAAGATTTACAGCCTTGGAAAGCCAGTGGGAGTCACTGTGAGTTGAGTCAACTCAATGATGGTAGTAAGTTTGCTTTTTTTAATACCATGGTCATAGTCCTTGGATGGTGCAGATGGTTGACCACTCAACTACTAACTGAAAGGTGCCTCAGAACAAATGCCTGACAGTCTGCATCCTTAAAAACTCTCTGGAGCATGGTTTTACTGTGCCACATATGGGTCACCATGAGTTGGAATTGACTCGATGGCAACTGGTTTAGTTTTTGATATACCATTGTAGGAGTCCCTGAGCAGTGATACCCAGAGTGTGGTTAATACACTGTGCTGCTGACAGAAAGGTTGGCATCCAGAGACTCATCAGAAGAAAGACCTGGCAATCTACTCCTGAAAAATGAGCCTCTGAAAACCTTTAGTTCACAGTTCTACACTGATACCCATGAGTCTGAATCAGCTCCACAACAACTAGTTTTATACTATGTTGTTGTTGTTATATGCCGTTGAGTCATCTCCAACTCATAGCAACCCCCTCTTGGGTTTCCGAGATGGTATCACTACAGAAGTAGATTGCCCAACTTTCGGTTTTATACTGTAGTATCGATAATGAGCAAAAGACGTTAGAGCAGGCAAAAAGTTTTTTAATTTTTTTTTTGATTTTCTATAATAGAAGTGGAAACAAAACCCTAATTTAAAAATTTTCCAATTCTTCCAAGTTGCAGGTCTTAGCTCCAATGTGGTCATTAGTCATACATGTCTCACCATAACATCTTTCTACTATTAATATGCATAGGTTGAGCACTCAGAGGACATGAGGCCCTGCACTCAGTGGAAGAGTTTTTGTGGTTGGGTTTAATACAATATTAGTTCTTATGGAATCTGGAAGCAACAGTGACAAAAGAACACAATTTAAGTAGTTAGCAGGAGAAGTGAAATCCAGGCTTGGGAATGAGACCTCTGTTGGAAGGCCACTTGGAATCTCTGATACCATTAATTTCTTTCTGCTGGTGGTCCTGGAGACCTTCTTTTGAATAGCCTTGTTTTCAGAGGTCACAATCTAACACATTTGGGAGAAGAAGAGGATGAGAAACATGACCAAGGCTCTTGGTCCTTTGTAGAAGTAATTTGATGTGATGATGGGGTGTGAATTTTCCTGTACAGAAAAAAAAAAAGCTCACTGCCATCCAGTCCATTCTGACTCATAGCGATCGCCATTGGGTTTCCAAAGTGCTGAATCTTTACAGAAGTAGATTGCCTGGTCTTCCTTCTGCAGAGTGGCTGGTAGATTTGAACCACCAACCTTCTGGTTAGCAGTCAAATGCCTTAGGCACTGCGCCACCAGAGCTCCTTACAGAAAACAAGTAGAGGATTACTTTTGGCCTGTGTGGAAAGGAGATATGGTGATATGGTTGGGCAGTAGGACCTCCTCATTGGAAGGGTTTACAGTGCTTATCATCAGCCCTACCTAAGAAATGGAGACATACACCCCCATGTGGATTTCTTTTAACCCCACCAATTTGTTGTGCAATTTAACCCCATCATAGGATCAGTTCAGGAGTTCTGGTAGTGTAGTGCCTAAGGCATTTGACTGCTAACCAGAAGGCTGGTGGTTCAAACCCACTAGCCGCTCTCAGAAGGAAGATGGGGCAATCTACTTCCGTAGTGATACTGCCTCGGAAACCCAAGGAGGGGTCGCATAAGTCAGATCTAACTCGATGGCAGTGAGTTGGTTTTTTTTTAGGATCACTCCAGCTGCTCTCACATATATTTATTGATTAATTCACTCATTGATTTGACCAACATTTATTGAGAGACAAGTCTTGAAAAAGAAATTACAAGAAAGATAAAGATTAGGAATGAAAAAGGTAGTTTAGTGTGACATTAGGAACTCTGATAGTGTAGTGCCTAAGGCACTTGACTACTAACAAGAAGACTGGAGGTTCAAACTCACCAGCTACTCCTCGGAAGGAAGGTTGGGCAATCTACTTCCGTAGTGATACTGCCTCGGAAATCCAAGGAGGGGTCGCTATGAGTCGGGTCCGACTCAATGGCACGTAACAACAGCAGTGCAGCATTATTTTAAAGGAAGAGCTCACCTAGTATGAGGCTTTGGAAGGGCTCCCTGAGGAAATAATGATTGAGCTGAGACCCAAAGACCAGTCACTCCAAGAGGGGTGAGAGAAAGTGTAGCAGTGAAGGAAACCTAATATCTACCAGAATGACAGGAGCACAGAGAGCTCGGGGGTCAGATGTGGCAGATTATGGGTTTGGACAGCTAAGCAGAGGCCAGGCCTTTGAGGGTCTAATAAGCAGCATAAAGAGGTTTGACTTTGTCCTAGAATAACAGGGCTTTAAGCATCAGAGTGACGTGATCATATTTGTTCTTTGAAAAGATCATTCTGGAATGCGGTGTGGAGAAAGGATTAAAGCGGAGCAGTTTTGGCTCAGGAACACTGTTTAGTAGATTACTGTAGTTATGTAAATGATGATCGTGATTTGGACTAAGTGGGGAATGGTCGTCAAATCTCAGAGATTTAGAAGATAGAGTAGATAGGATTCGGTGATTAGTTTGCTACATGGAATGAAGAAGAGAGAGGAATCAAACATGACCCTTGGGTTTCTGTTTGAGCCTTTGGGTAGATGGTGGTACAGTTACTGAGATGGGAATACTGGTGGAGCTGCAGGCTGGTTTCTCAGGACTATCTGGAACCTATGTATCTAGACCCATGCATTTGTTCAAGTAAAGCCTGCCCTGGGAGTGCAGGGTTGAACTGATTGATAGGGTCCTCCCTGAGCTTACAGCTGCTAGAAATTCAGACATCAAACAGTTAATTATTAGAAAGAACAAAATTTGTCATTTTCAGTGATTCAATGGTAGTTCTGATAAGTACAAGGAAGGAAAACATATCATGATACCAGTGCATGGAACAGGGAGATCTGACCAGTTATCAGGTAGGGAAAAGGTTGGATCAGAGATTTCCTTAAGGAAGTTCTAATAAGAATTCTGAAGGATAAATTCAATATAACATGGAAAGATTTTGTTGCAAAGAGAAGCATTCTATACTCTGGGAACAGTATGTATTTAAGTTTTGAGTCAGAAAGAAGTCTGGCATACTCAACTAAAAATGACAGGTATGTCTGCTATTCAAGGTGCAAGGAAGAATATGAGGCAACAAGAGGTAGAGGAGGCAGGGACTAGATCATGAAAGGATGGAGCCAGGTTCTAGATTCAGGACTTAATCAAAAGCAATGAAAGGCTGATGAGGATTTTAAGTAGGAGGTCCTCTAGGTTCAAATCATTCAGTGATTCCAAGGGGCCTGTCTACCAACCAGGGATTCAGCAGTTACTCATTGTCTGTAAGACAAAAGGGGATCCATTTCTCATCATAGCTCTGCTCATCTTGTTCTTGGTTTTTCTCAGGAGAAGGCACACTGAGGAAGATGAGTGAAATTTAAGCAGGTCATTCAAATATCAGATGGCTCTGTAGCATTTGTGAAAACTCAGTTAAACCCTCACGACTAGCATGGGTCCAGTGAGGTGATTCTCTGCTATTCTCATCTTTCCCTGTGATCCTAATCTAAGGAAGATTGTAAACCCATTGTTGTTGAGTCAATTCCAACTCCTAGCAACCCCATAGGGCAGAGTAGAACTGCCCCATAGGATTTTCAAAACTATAATCTTTATGGAAGCAGATTGCCATGTCTTTCTCCTATGGAGTGGCAGGTGGGTTTAAACTGCTGACCTTTTGGTTAGCAGCCAAGCACTTAATCACTTTACCACTTGGGCTTAGTTAAGTAAGATTGTAACTACTGATTATTTTTAAGTAATTGGCAATCCTTGATCATGCCTCACATTTTCCCTTGGATGCACACTCACCTCTTAAGTGGCTCTCTCTGGAGCAGAAGACTGACACAGAAGAGGCAATGTTCCATCTCTCTCTCCTCATTCTACTCAGTTGATAGAGCTGCTGCTCAGCCACTGACCCTGTCCCTCTTGCCATATCCAGAATGCCTCCTCTGAGTTCTTGAACAGGTCAAAATTGTAGCTGTTAGTATACTGGTTGGATTGGGAGCCAAATTCTCAGGAAAAGTTGGCTGCCTCTTTTTCTCCTAACCAACTCAGTGGGTCCCATTGGCTAAAAATGTCTGGAGGTGCTAAACAGCAGTTTAATAGCAAGTGCACTGTGACAGCTATCCATATTTTCATTCTCAGGTCTCTCAACATTTGGCAGACTTTGTCCCTGTCCTCCTTCGTAGCCATTTTCACCTCCTCTGAATCACCAATTTCTGGAATCATTCAACCCAATTCATGAACTGACAAGTAGTATCTGGCATAAAGTGGTTTTTCAATAAATGTTCATTGAATTGAATTTAGTTTGGCCAGGGATGTTGGCACAATAAGGCCATATACTTACTGAGAATGGGAAATTTTTTTTTTAAAGACCATGACTGCTTAATATTTAAACAGACTGTTCACTGTTTAAACTATGGCATTTTCCTGCCAAATGGGGAAACTGAGCAGAAACAGATTTACAATCTTAGGATTGGTCTTCCATATGGCTGAGTGTGACAAATGATGTCATTTGTCACAGATATGCTAGTCACCAGCAAATGATGAATGATTCCAAATGCAAGTTGGAAACAACAGTTTCTTTCTTTCCCAACACATTTTTAAAACTTTTCATCCTGGGGCTCAGACACCTGTAAGTTACCAGGCCTACCAGCCAGCGAAGGCTAGATGGTGTTGGTCTTACTGGGAAGGTCTTGTCTAGGGTGGGAATTTGTAGTAGCAGATATGGCATGACTGTTTCTCTCTCTCTCTCTTTCATATACCCTCTGAATTTGACTTCGCTTTTCAGGAGTGGCCGGAGTGGATACCCTTCAATGAGTCCACTCTCCCCCCAGGAAATATTCCAGTTGGCATGTATGGACCCAGCTGATGATGGACAGTTCCAGGAACAACAATCTCTGGTGAATTAAAGAGTTATATGACCTGGAAATTACTTCCTTGATTTCCTGATCCCCCTCACCCTCATTTTCAAATTTTATTTCATAGTTATGATCCACCAGAAAAACTTTCTGGTAGTCCAGCTAGTACCCTGGGAACTTCCTGTCTTCACCCTGGCATGCCTACGTTTCTTATGTTCTCTAACAAATGCTTACTCTTTGGATTTTACAATCCCAGAGGCCCTTTCACTGCTGCAGAAACGTATATTACTTCAGGCCAAGCCTTCTTAGTTTATACCCCTGAGCATCAAACATATACACAAAAGTCACATATAAAATCCTGCCTATGATATGGAGGCTTAAGATGAATCATCATAGAGTGAATAGCACCAACCATACAGCTTAGTGTAGCCAGTGTGGCTCCCGAGAGCACCGGAATGCCCTAGCCAGCCCCTAGTGATGCCTTTTCTTGAGAACTTAAGAGCAGTGTGTGCAGTAGTGATGAGCTCTCTGCCGTGAGGTACAGAGTCTCTTTCCTCTATTCTGTGTAGATTTAGGCAAGTGGGGCCTTTTGGTCACAGTTCTGCAGGGTCAAAAATATTCTAATATGTCCTTAAAGTCACTCTCCTGAACCCCAAGTGAGTTTCTTATTAGCATAAATGGTGAAATTCTCTAGGGACCTATTGCATCAAGTTAAAGCTTTGAGAAGACGGCAGAGTGAAGTTTAGTTTTTCTAATACAAAGCTAAAGTGCAATTCCCAAACATAACAAGATCCCTCCTGAGCTTAGAATTAGAGCCTGAGTTTTCACTGGCCTGGACTAAAAAGACAAAATCCCAGCCTTTGCATAAGTTCATACAGGTAGCTTATACTACACAAGTTCTGTATCACTTTGATTATAATACACCTGAAGTTTTCTCTCTCCTTCATTTTTCTCCTGGTACCTCCCCCACTACTATATACCCTGGAGCTATCGTGAATTGAAGTCATGGTGGAGTGTGGGTGTGGCCTCTTTGTGGGGTGCATGTCTGATGGCATGGGTACTATTCAGAATAGAAGCAAGCAGCTCAGTAGCTCAAACAAATGAGTGATTTTGTCCCCTGTGACTGTTGAGACAGAGAACTGTGCATGGTTGTGTTTAGGGAGACAGCCAAACCAGACACCCTAGGGCATGAGTGTTGCCTGAGGGTGTTCTTGGTGATGGGGCTGGGAAATGGTGGAGTGATTCCCTGTCTTTCCCTCTGAGAAACTTAGCCCCAGAGCCCAAGGAGTAATTGGTACAAAGAATTTGATTCTTAAAAGTATCTGTCAGCATCCTTTAGCTTGCCTGCATGGCAATGGGTCCAGTGGGAAAAATCTCAGTAATGTGTCCTTTCTTTCACAGGGAAGCTTCCTTCACTATGTCTTCATTTCTGCGGGTTCCCCAGAACTGAGCCCTAGTGCCAGGACTCTTTGGATATGTGTTCATCTCATTGTCAGTACTGATGTTTGTAATTCAGTTGGGGTGTCAGCTGTACGGCACTCTCTCCACTGTGTACTATTGGCCATCCGTAGAGCTGCTGCTCCATGTCCTGAGGCGTGGCCATGACTTGAGTGTGTGCATATGGAGTGTGTATGTGTGTGTGCGTGTGTCTTATACCGCCTCTGACACCCATAAACTGCAGTGTTGTTCCACATCTGTTTGGAGTCAGACCTGTGTGCTATATAAAGCATGTCCTGCAAACTCTGTAACTTGATTCAAGTGTACACATTACATGCCCTGGGAAGGCACTCCTCCCTTTCACACCAGAGATCACTCAGCCAAATGGTCATGGAGGCTGAGAGATATTTTAGGCACCCTTTCCTTTGGGCAATGCCCTACTCACACCCTCATGTTTTAAGGATGTCATTTCCTGAAAAGTAAAGTAGCTTTTTTTTTGGTCTCCAGATATCCAAGATGTTTATAGGTTTTCTTCTTGGATGGCCCATGTAAACCCCTCTAAGGCAACTCCATTCTTCATACAGTGACACTTTCTCTTTGTACAGAGCATACACATCTGCCAAACTAACATTCTTTAACCAGGAAAAAGAAGAGTTACACAAGGCTTTAGAGATTCCCCATCCAAACTTCTAATGCTCTAGAACAGCATAGTTCAGTATGATAGCCACTGGCCACATGTGGCTGTTGAGCACTGAAATGTGGGTATGAGATGAGATGAGCTGTTAAATGTAAAATACGTAATGATGTCAAGACTTGGTACAAAAAAAAAGTGAAATATCTAATTTTTTACAATGATTATATGTTGACATGATATTTGGATATAGATTAGGGTAAACAGAGTATGTTACTAAAATTTCATCTGTTTCTATTTATTTTTTTAAATGTGGCTACTATGAAATTTTAAATTAGATGTGGCTTGTACTATATTTCTATTGGACTGCACTAGTCTAAAGCATTCCTCACAGATGGCCACCCACCATATCTTGGGATGGTTTCAGTCATAAGAGAATTCTTTGACTACTAAAATCATAAATTGATACATCCCTTAGAATACAGGCTTCTAGTTAATTGGTAAGAAGCATCTCCAGATTGAAAGAATAAAACCAACACTACCACCTCTCAGAAAGTAAACTGCACATATCTAACAAGTTTTATTACCAGCAATGGTTGTTTCGCAAAGTTATAAAATCTGAAGCATCGTTCAGTGAGGGGGATAAAAAAAAAAGATGATACTGGACTACGAAAGGTAACCGTGACCTCTCAATCCCTGTTAAGAAGGTAATAAGAGAAAAATAAAACATTAATTGAATTAGAATTTGGAATATATTCCTGAGCTGTCTGTCTGAGACATCTGGTATACCACATAGTGCCCATAGACACACACACACACGCACACCCACCCACACACATACACACCCCTGAGACCTTAAAGATACAGGTCTCTTTTCTGAAGGCCATTCTTGGTATGGAGGAAACAGAATATCCCCTGGAAGGGAGAAACAATAAGATGGAACCAAGTCCCACAAGCGTGGCTGTGTGTTTATTTCCAGGAGCCAGAGGTTAGTGAATTAAAAAGCGTGCAGTCCTCTAACCATGGCATCTACCTTCCTCCGGACACCCAGGAGCATGCGGGATCGGGGAGGGCAGCCTCTATGCCACGCCTGACTGTGGATCCCCAGGTAAAAAGCCACCACCACCCACCATATGCAGTGCCATCCCGGGCTGTATTGAATTGGTGGGTTATGACATAGTATCTGATACCTTTAGGTGAGCTTTCAGCTTGCTCCCACCCCTGCCCTATCAGGAGGCCTGGCTCAAAGACATTCTTTAGTACAGCCTGCTCCTCTTCCTCACTGTGTTTCCAGTGAACCCTTCACCACACTGCCTAGCCACCAAAATGGCATCACTCCCTGTACATGGGCTAAGCACTCTCAAGACTCAACCAGCCATGCAAGAAATATTTTTCAGGATTTTTTTCTGTGCATTTTTCTTCCTTTTCTCCTTTCCTGGCTGCCCCAACACATGTGCAGTTACTTACACACACAGTTCTGTGTCAGGACTGTCTTGTCCTAACCAGTGCAGGCCACGCCTCATTTCTTTGTCTGTTTACCTGGCTTTATTTTTCCTGTCTGTCTGTCTTACATCAAATTTTGACAGAGACAAGAGTTTTTGTGGATCTGTTTTGACATCTGTGGCAAATCAAAATGCCAGCATTTAAGGTGGGGCTGGGCTGGGTCTGACAATGGGGAGAGTGGTGCATTCTTGGTAGTTGTTAAATTGCATGCTCTCCTCTCGTGTGGTAGGGAAGGCCTTCTCTGATGAGGTAGCAAAAAAAAAAAAAAAAAACCTCACTGCCATCAAGTCAATTCCAACTCATGGTGACCTCCGCTGGGTTTCTGAGGCTGTAAATCTTTACAGAAGTAGATTGCCCCATCTTCCTTCCACTGAGCAGCTAGTAGGTTTGAACTGCTGACCTTCTGGTTAGCAGCCAAATGCCTTATCCACTATACAACCAGAGCTCCTTTCCCTGATGAGAATAAGAAAAGAAGACAAAGCCATACTTCTTTCATGGTGTAGACTTTTTGGTAATCAGTATAGGATTTGTATCAATTGTTGTTGTTGTTTTTGCGGTCGAGTCGGCCCCAACTCATAGTGACCCCTCCTTGGGTTTCCGAGGCAGTATCACTACAGAAGTAGGAATGCCCAACCTTCCTTTGTATCAATTACTGCCCCATATTTCAAAAGTGGCTTTAGGTCCTGGCTGAGCACCTCTGGTAGACAGCTCTGTGGGAAGCTTACACAGTGCCTGCGTGCATTCTGCTAGATTTTGCCCTCCAATATACTCAGTTGGTTGCTTTACCGAGCAAGAGAAGACCCTGGACCAGTTCCAGTGACATAACACTATGGAACAGCTTCAGCTAAGGTCTGAGCAAGAAGGATTTAAGGGGATGCCACCACAAGGTTACAGTTTGCAATGTCCAACAGTCTCAATCTCTTCTTATCATTAGATCCCGTCAGTAATTAATCCAGACCTTGTATTCCTCTGGGGGCTCATGTTTTCAGGTGGTGACAGACCCTTGCTCTATGAGACGTTCTTTTTCCACTATTCGGGATAAGCGCTCAAATTCCTCGTGGTTGGAGGAATTCTCCATGGAGCGAAGCAGTGAAAACACCTACAAGTCACGTCGCCGGAGTTACCACTCCTCCCTGCGACTGTCAGCCCATCGCCTGAACTCTGACTCAGGTGAGATCTTCCCCGTTTGTCTCTTTTGTCAGGCAGTGGGCTCTTGTCCTGATGGACCGATTCAAAAAGGACTGTAAATCACTGGGAACAGAATTCGGGTCAAGATACCAAAAAAACAAACCAAACCCACTGCCATCAAGTAGATTCCGATTCATAGCAACCCCCATAGGGTTTCCAAGGCTGTAAATCTTTACGGAAGCAGACTGCTCCACCTTTCTGCCACGGAGCAGCTAGTGGTTTCAAACTGCCGACCTTTTTGTTAGCAGCCCAGTGCCTTAACCACAGCACCTCCCTATATTCATCAAAAGGCAGAGGAGATTCCTTCCTTCAGGAGTAGGACAAGGGAAATCATCAGAATTGAAGTTTCCAAGTGGCCTTTTGCAAAATTCCTGGGATTCCTTGGAAATGTATCAGACAGTCCCTGGTGTCTGGGTGAGATTGGAATCACGTGGGTTGGGCTGCGGCCACCAACTCTACTTCTACCAAAACAGTGCTACTACGTAAATTATGTTTCTTTTTCTCTCATTCAGACTCATTATTATTATTATTAAAGGAAAAACTGTTGTTCTGTTAAAAAGCCATTAGAAAAATCATTAGTCTAGTTCAATCTCTTTACTAGGTGAGGAATCAAAAATGAAAAAGTAATGACTTGCCCCATATCATGGGGGCAGTAAGTGGCAGAACTGGGACTAGAACCAAGATCCTTGGACTTAAAGCCCAGGATTCTCACCTTGGCTTTATGTTAGGTGTGTCATTACTTAGTTCAAGCATATGTCTCAGTTTCCTTCTGCTGGTACCATTTTTTGCCCAATTCTCCATACCTGTGTTTAGAACTTAGAGGATTCCTGGGTAGTATTATTGGCAGAGTCTGTCATTATCATGTCTAGGGTGAAAGGAAGCAGAAGAGAACAAATTGCATATTTTGACAATGCATGTCTTTCTGATGGAAACTTGTAAGCTTACTTGCTCACAAAAGACTTGCCTAGCCTTTTTCTCCTAACTGCCTTTCAGATCACCTGTTGACATGCCTGGAGAAGCCAGGGTTCCTTAGGGGCTCACTCTCAGGGAGTGATGAGACACCTGGGGAGACTTCTCTTCATCTTCAGTGCACAGTGTGGGCTAAGTTATGACCAGTTGCTACTGTTGTCTCTTACAGGCCACAAGTCTGACACCCACCGCTCCGGAGGCAGAGAGCGGGGCCGATCAAAAGAGCGAAAGCATCTGCTCTCTCCTGATGTCTCCCGCTGCAACTCAGAGGAGCGAGGGACCCAGGCCGACTGGGAGTCCCCAGAGCGCCGTCAGTCCAGGTCACCCAGTGAAGGCAGGTCACAGACCCCCAACAGACAGGTGAGTACAAAGAGCAAGCTGAGACTTTGACAGGAAGACAGGGAAGGGTGGTCTGTGACTTTAGGTGTAGAATGTGAGCATTCAGCAGCCACACTGAAACACCCACAAAGACCTCAGTTTCACAGGAACCTCTCCCTACTTCGCCTAGAGATGAGCTACTTAATGCTCCTCTGCTAAGAAATTAAAGGAATTCACAGAAAACCAGATTTCCTCCCAAAAAAAGAAGTTGGTGTTTAGAGGTCACCCCATCCTAATCTTCATAAGCTATAAGTACAAAGTCACAATATAGAAAGAAGCTCACAAATATCTCAGCCAGATTTGGGAGAACAGGCTTGTCTTTGAGCCACAGGGGTTGTTTTTTTGTTTTTGTTTTGTTTTGTTTTTTCCTTCACCCAAGTTACTATATGTCTGTCCTCTAGTTAGTGGTTTACCCTCCCATCCCTACCCACCCCTGGTAACCATCAAAGAATATTTCTTCTTGTGTGAAACCCTTTTCTTAACTTTTTACAAAAGTAGTCTCATACAAGGTATGTCCATTTGTGATTGCCTAACTTCATTCAGCATAATGGCTTCTAAGTTAATCCATGTTATAAAATGTTTCACAGATTCATCATTATTCTTTAAGGTTGCATAGTATTCCATTGTGTGTATGTACCATAGTTTGTAGATCCATTCCTCCATTTAGGTTGTTTCCATCTTTTTGTTCCTGTCAATAATGCTGTGATGAACATGGGTGTGCATGTATCTGTTTGTGTCATGGCTCTCATTTCTCTAGGATAGAGGTATATAGTGCCTGAATATCCTCTTTGGCGAAGTGTCTGTTCATGTCCTGTGACCATTTTTTAATTCAATTATTTGTATTTTTGTTGTTGAAGTGTTGAAGTTTTCTATAAATTTTAGACATTAGTCCCTTGTTCAATATGCCATTGCCAAAAATTTCTTCCCAGTCTGTGGTTCTCTTTTTTATGCTTTTGGTGAAATCTTTTGATGCACAATAAGTGTCTAATTTTTAGGAGGTCCCAGTCACCTATTTTGTCTTCTTGTGTTATATTTGATAGTGTATTAATGCTCTGAATTAGGACCCCTAAGTTCATTCCTATTTTTTCTTTGATGATCTTTATGGTTTTATGTTTTGTGTTCAGGTCTTTGATCCAACTTGAGTTCATTTTTGTACATGGTATGAGATATGGATCCTGTTCATTTTTCTGCAAATGGATATGCAGTTTTGCCAGCACCATTTATTAAAGAGACTATCTCTTCCACATTTAATGAGCTTGGGCCCTTTGTCAAAGACCACCTGTCCATTGTGGATGAATTTACTTCTGGGTTCTCAGTCCTGTTCTGTAGGTCTATGTGTCTGTCATTGTACCAGTACCAGGCTGTTGTAACTACTGTCACTATATAGTAGATTTTGAGATTAGGAAGTGTGAGGCCTCCTACTTTGTGCTTCTTTTAGTATCTGGGTTCTCTATCCTTTCCATATGAAATTGGTAATTAAATTTTCTCTTTTTTTAAATTTATTTTATTTTAAGAACTTGTTTTACAGTCAATGTAATGTGTAAATTTAGTTTCATTTCCCATTTACCATGTCCAACCCTAACCCAGTCTCCTCCCCTCCCTACCCTGCAACCTTCCCCCTGTGCCCCTCATATTTATGCACTCCTATTTGTCCTGCGTTTCCTCAGTTTGAATGTTGGTCCTCTGGTGTCTCATGGTCTATTGCTCTAAGGGATGTATTACCATAGAGTATGTGGGTGCGTCATCCTGGGTTGAGTGGTCTGAATGTACATCTTGTTAACTATTGGACTGAGAGCCCGCCCCTGGGGGTGAGTTTTATTCCAGGTGCTGAATGTATTTCAGGGCCATAGTATTGGGAGTCTCACCAGATTTCATCTTACCAGTAATTCTGGTCATTATTGAGATTTTGGATTTTGTTCCACATTTTTCCTCCCACTCTATCCAGGATCTCCGGATTTGATCCTTTCCTGAGTGGTTGGCATTGGTAGCCGGGCACCATCTAGTTCTGGTTTCGAGGTCCATCATGTCCTAGGGTTGATTGCTTCTAAATGCCCCCCTTTTTTTCATTCTTCTTCACTTCCAGTGCTAGGAGACCATTAGCTGCATCTTAGATGGCTGCTTGAAAGCTTTTAAGACACCAGTCGCTATTCACCAATGTAGAATGTGGAGCAATACTTTTATGTATTTTGTTGTGCCAGTTGAGTCTGGTGTCCCCCAGTATTATGGTCCTGAGGCAATAGATCTATTAGATCTCTCCCCCATAGTGTCTGGTTGTCTGTGAGGGATTACTCTGTGTCAGTCTTCTATTGTTTCTGTAAGGACTGCAGGTATTTTGTATCACTGGTGTCTGTGCAAGATTAGCCTGAGCTGAATCTATCCTTGGTCTAGAGTATACTTCTGTTCACTGACTCCCGTCTGATCATCTCAGTTGTGTATATGTTTATCTGTATAGCCTAGTGTTTGGTGTTAATGGCAATGCAGTATTGTGGACAGATTGGTTGGTATTAGCATCTGTCGTCTCTTATGTGTACAATTCAGTGTACTCTCATTTCCTAATGTTATTATGGTGGTCATACATCCTTCCTGTATATCCCTCCCCCTACCTAGGTCAGTTTATAGGCCCCAACTAGCCCAAAATTAATCCCTTCCCTTCCCTCTCCATCCTGGTAACCTACTAGGTGAGTTCCCTTTCCCAAGCAAACCCTTCTCTGTCTTTTTACAGTAATGGGCTCATACAGTACTTATCCTTCTGCAATTGATTTATTTCACTCAGCAAAATGTCCTCCAGGTTCATCCACATTGCGAGATGATTCGTGTAACCATAATTTGGTTATCCACTCATCTGCTGATGGGCATTTAGGTTGTTTCCATCTCTTTGCTATGGTGAATTGTGCTTCAATGAACAAAGGTGTATATATGTTTGTTCGTGCACCATCTCTCATCTCTTTAGGATATATTCCTAGTAATGGAATTGCTGGGTCAAATGGTACTTCTATTTTAAGTTTTTTAAGGAAACGCCATATTGTTTGCCACAATGGTTGTACCAGTTTACAATCCCACCAGCAGTGTATAAGAGTTCCATTATCTCCACAACCTCATCAGTATTTGTTACTATTTGATCTGTTGAACTTTGCTATTATTGCTGGAGTGAGATACTTCATTGTTGTTTGATTTGCATCTCTCTAATGATTAATGATCGTGAGTAATTTCTCATGTGTTTGTTGGCTGCCTGTGTATCTTCTTTGGTGAAGTGTCTGTTCAAATCTTTTGCCCATTTGTGAATTGGGTTATTTGTCTTTTTGGTGTTGAGGTGTTGAAGTTTTCTATAGATTTTGGAGATAAGTCTTTTATCTGATATGTCATAGGCAAATATTTTCTCCCAATCTGTAGGTTCTCTTTTTACCCTTTTGACGAAATCTTTCAATTGTCACAAGAATTTAATTTTTAAAAGGTCCCAGTCATCTAGCTTCTCTTCTATCTCCTGCACATTCTGGATTATGCTTGACAGTCTATTTATGCTGTAAATTAGGGCTCCCAGATTTGCCCCTATTTTATCTTTGATGAATTTTATAGTTTTGGGTTTTACATTTAACTCTTTGATCCAGCTTGAGTTTGTTTTTGTGTATGGGATGAGTTATGGGTCTTGTTTCATTTTTCTACAGATGGATATCCAGTTTTGCCAGCACCATTTGTTAAAGAGGCTGTCTTTTCCCCATTTAATGGGTTTGGGGACTTTGTCAAAGATCAGTTGTCCATAGATGGATGGGTATATGGACTTTCAATTCTGTTCCATTGGTCTATATGTCTGTCATTGTACCAATACCATGCTGTTTTGACTACTGTGGCGTATAGTAGTTCTTAAGATCTGGGAGTGTGAGACCTCCCACTTTGTTTTTATTCTTGAGAAGTGCTCTGCTTATTCTAGGTCTCTTTCCTTTCCATATGAAATTAGTAATTAGTTTTTCCATGTCCTTAAAATATTTTGTTGAAATCTGGATCATAATTGCGTTAAATGTATAGATTGCTTTAGGTAGTATTGACATTTTCACAATGTTTAGTCTACCTCTCCATGAACAAGGCAGGTTCTTCCATTTATGTAGTGCCCTTGTTGTCTCTTGTAGCAGTATTTTATAGTTTTCTCTATATATGTCTTTTGTCTCTGGTGAGGTTTATTCCTAGATATTTTATCTTTTTCACAGCTATAGTGAATTGTATTGTTTTCCTTATTTCTTTATCAGAGGACTCCTTGATGGTGTAGAGAAATCCAACTGATTTTTGTATGTTGATCTTGTATCCTGCAACTTTGCTGAGCCTATTAGTTCCAGTAGTTTTTCTACTGAGTTCCTTGGGTTTTCTATATATAGGATCATATCATCCACAAATAGAGATAGCTTAGTTCCTCTTTGCCAACATGTATGCCTTTTATTTCTCTTTCTTGCCTTATTGCCCTGCCAGGACTTCCAACACGATGTTAAATAGAAGTGGTGATAGAGGGCATCCCTGTCTGGTTCCCGTTCGTAAGGGGAATGCTTGAGTCTTTCTCCATTAATAACGATGTTGACCATTGGCTTTGTGTATATACCATTTATTATGTTGAGGAATTTCCCTTCTGTCCCTATTTTTCTGAGAGTTTTAAACTGGAATGGATGTTGGATTTTATCACATGCCTTTTCTGCATCAATTGATATAATCATATGGTTCTTTTCCTTTGTTTTGTTTATGTGATGAATTACATTGATTGATTTTCTGTTGTTGAACCACCCTTGCAAACCTGGTATGAATCCCACTTGGTCTGGATGTATTAATTTTTTGATAATCTTGTTGGATTCTGTTGGCCAGGATTTTGTTAAAGATTTTTGCATCTATGTTCATGAGTGATATTGGTCTGTAGTTTTCCTTTCTAGTGGTGTCTTTCCCTGGTTTTGGTATTAGTGTTATGCTTGCTTCATAAAATGAGTTTGTGAGTACTCCATCTTTTTCTA